CTAAGAAAAGTAAATTTCACATATAAAAAGTGGAATACCTTAGATTCACTATTACCCCTAGGAAGGTTTATATATTAGGAAATAAAGTTAAAGCTATTAAGGAATAGCTAGAACTTAGTAACCTTAAGGAAGTTTAAGGATTCCTAGGTTTTATTAACTTCTACTATAAATTTATTAAAAACTATAGTAAAATTAATATAGCTCTCACTAGCTTCAGCTATAAAAATACACCCTTTATATAAGAAGAACTATAATAAATAGTATTTTAGAAAATTAAAGACCTTATTACTAGTAAACCTATCTTAATTATCCTAGACCTAATAAAATAGTTTAAAGTAGAACTTAATATATCTAACTATATAATTAAAGTATAACTATTATAATAAGATTTAAAAGGATACTTATACCTATACACCTTCTTCTCTTATAAGCTCTATAGATTAGAACTTAACTACTAGATATATAATAAAGAGCTTATAGTAATTATTAAAGTTTTTAAAGAATAGAGACCTAAACTCTTAGGAATAATTTATAAAGTACTTATATACTCTAATCATAAAAATCTTTTACACTTTATAACCTTAAAAGTGCTTAATAAATAATAAATCTAATAATTAGAATTCCTCTTAGAATTTAACTTCTAAATAATCTATTAAAAAGGATTAGATAATAGTAGAGTAGACGCTCTTAGCTAATAACTAGACTATAATATCCTAATACCTAAAGAAACCTAAGTGATTCTTAAATAATAAGATAATAGAGACCTAATATTAGTAGCTAAACTCCTAATAATAGCTAGATAATCTAGTATTAGCCTAACTAATAAACTAGATAATAAAGTAATTATAAAATTTTATATATATTTTATATATAGTTACTAAGGAATTATAAAAACCTAGAAATAATTATAATAATAATATAGAGAAAAGGTTATAAGAGAATATATAGCAAAAGTAATTAAGGATTATAAGGTATACCTAAAAAGTAAACTTACTTAATATCAACCTTATAGTATATTATAACCTTTACCTATACTATAAACCGCCTAATAATCTATATCCCTTAACTTTATTATTAAATTACTAAAGTCTTAAAAACCCCTTATAGGAGTACACTTTAATAGTATTCTTATTATTATAGACTAACTTATAAAATATACCTACTTTATCCTATATAAAGAAGTAAGTAATACTAAAGAATATATATATACCTTCTTTAAGTATATTATTACTAACTATAGAATACCTAAGGAAATTATATTAAACTAAGATAAGATCTTTACTTCTAAGTTCTAGAAGTTAATTATATTATAACTTAGTATTAAATAATTAATATCTACTATATTCTACCTATAGATTAATAGATAAATAGAACGAATTAATTAAATCCTTAAAACCTACCTCTACGCCTATATTAACTATAATTAAGATAACTAAGTTATATTTTTACTAATTACTTAATTTACCTATAATAGCGTAATTAGAGAAAGTACTAAGGAATCCCCTTTTTACCTTAACTATAGCTTCAAACTAACTACTTATAGAGAACCCTAAGTAGGCTTAGCTATAGTTAAAGCTACTACCTTAGTATAATAAATTAAAGATATCTAAAGTAATACTTATAAAGAACTTAAATTTATTTAATAATAAATATTAAGATTTAGTAATAAATAAAGGATTAAGGGATTAACCTTAAAAGAGGGAGATAATACCTACTTTATATAGTAAAATATTAAAATAAAATAACTAAGTAATAAACTTAACTATAAAAAACTTAAACCTTTTAAAATCTTATAAGTTATCTTACTAGTTAACTATAAGCTTAAACTCCTAGAAACTATAAAATACTACCTAATATTCTATATTTTACTTCTTAAGCTAGTACTATAAGGATTATAAATAAATAACCTTATTATTATAGAAGATAATAAACTAGAGTATAAAGTAGAGAAGCTATTAAACTATTAGTATAGAGATAATAAATAGGAATACTTTATTAAATAGAAAAACTATAAATATAAAGATAATATATAGGAACTTAATAATAACCTATTTAACTATTAAGATAAGATTAATAAGTATATTAGAACACTTAATTATATTAATCTTAAGGATAGACTAAGCTTACTTATAACCTTAGAAGAATTTAAGGAATATATAAAATATACTAATAAAAGAGAAAGATAAATATAAGAAGAAATATAATAGAAATAAAGAGAAGCTAAGAAATAAAGAATATAACTCCTATTAGTATAGGTATAACTAAGAGGATACCTTAGACTAATATAATAAGAAAATATATCTATTTAACTAAGAATACTAAAATATAACTAAGACTCCCCTAATAAGAAACTTAGAGTACTAAGATTTTAGTTAAGAATTAAATCTAAGTTTAGAATACTAAAACTACTTATAGATTAAACCTCTAATATAGGAGATATTACTAGCTCCTCTTCTATAACCTCTTAACCTTTTTAAAATACTATCTTTTTCTACTTATATAAGTAATCTAACTACGCTATAGACTTATTTAACTTAGCCTATATAGTATATAAAGTAGCTACTTTCTTTCTTAATACCTCCTCTTTAGCTACTTTAATATCCTCTAAATAAGTAGCTTTATCTAGTAAGTAATTAACTAGGATAAGTTAGTACTAAATAGGAAATATAGTAAAAATAAAGACTTATNTATTTAGTAAGTAATTAACTAAGATAAGTTAGTACTAAATAGGAAATATAGTAAAAATAAAAACTTATAAATATAAATAGTATCTACTACTATATTATAAGACTACTTTAAATAAGTATACTTACTATAAACTTTACTACTAAGAAGAAGCTTATAATACTTCCCTAAAGAATAATAATAAGAATAAGGTATATTAATAATTAGACTAAACTTAGTAATATATAAAGTATAGTTATAATAATAAAAAGTAGAAGTAGCATTTAATTTTAATTTCTAAATATAACCTAATATAATATTAATATTATAAGTAAAATAGGAAGTATAATTAATAGATCTCTAACCTAAGACTAATAATCTACTTATATTAGGTCTTAAAAATAAAACCTTTAGAGAGGGGACCTAATATTATAACTTATTATATATAGATAATAGTTAACTAACCTACTTAGGTATTAGGTAGCTAGGATAAGATATTTATACTATAGAATTAAAAGGAATAATAGGGATTTACTTAGAATAGAAGAACTATAGTATAAGTTATATAATAATAAGATAAGAGAATAATTAGTAGAGTATAGAAAGAAATACTTAGCGATTAGTTAGTATTACTAACTAATTATAATTACCTATATACTTAAGTGATCACTTAAAAGTAGATAAAGGACACTATTTAAGACTTATATATAGTATAACCTAAGCCTCACTTAAGGTTAAACTTCTATAGCTCTTTAGTAATTAACTTAGTATTTATCCTTATAGATACTCTTAGCTTACTTTTACTATAAATCACTTATTAAGCCTAAGACTAATTACTTTAGTCTCTAAAAGACCTGATCTACTATAGCTTATAACCTATAACTTAGACTATAACCTTAGTGTACTATTATAACGTGTTAATCCCCAGCTTCTATTAGTAGACCCTACTATTAGATAGCTAACTGTAATAACTTTATACCTTCCTTTAGGTATAAGGCTACCTCAGATACTTAAGGGTATCATAACACTAGCTATATCACATAAGTTATCATTCCAAAATAACCGTTATCAAAGTATTAAACTAGTATTGTGTTAATGCCTTGAAATAACCTATGTTGTAGGCTGTTCAGCTTAAGAAGTCTAAACTTATATTAGCTGTCTCAGGGGTTGCATTTATTGCTCGTCTTATCCTTCCATGCTTGACGTTTATAATTCTGATGTCTTTAATCTCAGTCAAGAGGGTAATATGACCAAAATCAAAAAGAGTTCCTACCATGGTTCCTAAGAAGGAGAAATGGGTGGAAATTTGTGTTCATTGTTGACGACGATAATAAGCTAATGGGAATCTGGGTACAGACCACGAAGGTTTCGCAAGGCGATCGATGCGAGATCCCAAAAGCCAGAGCGCATCCTGCGTTGTCCATCCCATCAATTTGTGGATGGGAGGAGTGTGGTGACCAAGGCCAGCTGAAGTCGCGTTCTAGACCATGACGTCACTACCGCGGCCCCCCAAGCCGTACACGTTTCCCTGCATGTGCTCTTCCTCAATTCTTCCTTAAAATCAACAACTTCTCGCAGAGTGGCAATCGGCAGTTTTATGTCCTATTTCAGCAACTTTGAGAACAAAACCACTTCGGAAACAGCATTGAAGCTTGCGCGCAGCTCGAACCAACCACAACATCAACATCACCAACAACGAACATCCTTGTCTAAAATCATGGCTTTCCCCACGAACGTCCTGGGCATCCTCATCGCCTTGATCAGCGGATTTGCACTAGTGCACTCGGCGGACTCGATCCCGAGACTGCTCAAGTACGAAGAGAAGGCGAAGAAGGCGGCTGAATGGAGTAGGACGGCAGAGAAGCAGCTGTGGGAAATCCGGTACACCGTTGGCACCGGCTTTGTGGGAGTACGTCACCGCTGTCCAACCCTCATCGAGAGGTCGAAATTTCAAATTGATTCGGAGCTAACATGTGCAAAAAGTGTCTGTTGTCAGGCCTCAGTGGCCTGGCCTTCTCACTCGTGGTACCTCGCGGCGTGGGTGTATTCACCGTCGGCTGGCCCATTATGCTTGCGGCTGGTCTGACGTACGGACACCAGTACATGCGAAACTTCTGGATTTCCAAGCCCAAGGTTCCAATGATGACGGACTTCAATGAGGCCATCTCTGACTCGATGATGGTACAGGATCTTCTGAATCCTTTGGCTGGAGCTTGGGGACTTGTGGCGTTTTGCAAGCTTGTGGGATTGTAAATAATTTGCCTTGTGCATCCCGGCATCACAACTGGCGAGGGAGTTGCAAAAGCATGACTCGAGTACATAGTCCTTGATGCCACTCACGGGTTGGCAACCCTCTTCATGTAGACCCATTCATACTTTCCCCATGAGTCTGCGCTTCCTGTGATCTTCTCGTACCTCTCACCAGGCTTCTTGCCCTCGGCGTAGAAATCCAGGTTAGCCTCCAGTCTGCCGACCTCTCTAAAACCGTACTTCTCATATGCCGGCACCCCACCCATTGAAGATTGAACCCAGCAGTATATTCCCTCCTGATCCACCTTGTCCGTTCCCCAGCGTATGAGCCGCGACCCGATTCCTTTGCCCTGACAGTCCGGATGCACGACACAGCTGATCACAATCCGGCACCGGCAACCCTCCGGTTGCAGCCTGTTGACCCAGTATTGCATAGATTCGTTACCGAGATCTTCAAGGTCCTTGATTGTCGGAGGCTTGGCCGGATCAATGGTATCGGCCGAGACAGCCTGCGGTTCTTCGGCGGGGCCGGTGAGGGCAATGTCCGTATCCCCCGCGAAACCCCTCCGAGCCCATCCAATCCACCCGACCGGCTTGCCCGAGATCTCGGCAACTAGAAGATCCACCTTCGGCGACTGTAGCCAACCTTTCAAACCCTCACCCATACCATTTTTGAACGAAGAGTCGCCGTGAAAGACGGCTTTGAGTTGAGTGTGTGAGTCCGTCTGAAATGCCGCATCAGCGATGGCAGCGAGGGTATCCACATCATCGACTGTCGCATGACGGAGGTTGACGTCGGGACGGGGCGGAGTGACAGACGAGGGAGCCATGACTCTGATGACTTGGCGGTGATGGGGCTGAGAATGTGGCCGACTTGGCACGGGAACTGTTCCAGCTTTTCACGGTGAGATTTGGTCGAATATGTAAGACAATATCCGGTTAAAGTCGCTTACTTTGACCGGGGACCGGCAGACCGGCCTGCGTCGGCAGGAAGCCCGCTAGTCCCGACACGGAGCTGACAGGGGAGAAATGCTGCTAATTTATCACCGGATGACTCCTCACCGGACTCTCACGATAACGGGTCATTCGAGATTCAATCTCACCCAGTCTCTGAAATCCAGTATTGCAGTTTTCAATGGATCTGACTCTCCCGTCATCGCGATGAGAATCACCTCTAGACAGATACCAATAAGAGAAAAGTGCCTCGTATGAAAATGAGATTCAACGTATCTCGATGGAGTCTCAAGTTACTAACAGCTCCAAGCACGATACAAATTCTGAGGCAGGAATAGAAATGCACGAGAAGGTAATGGGCATTGAAGTCTCTGACGACACTGACTGAGAGATCATTAACAACGTCTACATAACGACAACGGAGGAATTCGACGCAGAATTAACCTAGCAACAAAGCCACCGGCACTGTAGATGTAAGTTGGATTGTACAAATTAATGATGACATGCTGGGAGGCGATATGGAGCAAATCGCTTATGAACCCCTCAGGACCAAGCAATCGAGCAGTAAGCCACCTGGTTTGTAAAGCTCCGCCATCAAGATTCTTTGGAACCTACGACCCTAGTAGATATTGCGATGTACTTACTACAAGTGAACAGCGAGGCCGTAAAATGAGCGCTGACTGTTGACGGAGTTCCTGGCCTCATCGACTGTGAAGCAATACGAGGCGATTGCATCATGCCACAACAAAACGTCAAATACAAGCTTCTAGACCAACGATGATGTCTTAAACCCGTATTCGTTCAACTGAGTTGCATTCTCCAACTACAAGTGCGTCGAGCTCGTGTAAGTGCGGGCGATCGTATCGCCGCCACGGCTATTGCCTGAGTCATCCAATAGGAGCCGATCCTGACGATCGCCGAAGCTACGCCCGTCATTCGAGATCACGTTAGTGAGCCTTTTCAGTGGGGACATCCTTCAAGTGTCTGTCACAAAGTCAGGGGCCGCGAGTAGGAGCAATGTCACAGGCAAGTCCGACAGAGTCCGCCTCGGCTATTGTACGGGCCCACGACTGAGCGTCCGGGAATGTCTGCATGCCATGGATGATGGACGAGTATGATCGAGAATGCTTTGGAACTATCATGAATCTAGGAAAACACCACATAGAGTATTTTCTGTATCGAAATACATCATATTGTAAGGGCATTACTGCTCATCGCTTGTAACCAACCCAAAGTCACCTAGGTATTCTCCTTCTCACAGCTCACATGCGCATACCCATAAGGGGCATCGAAAAATTCTTTCCTGCTTCATTTAATGCGCATAGGTCGATATGAAGCCTCCCAATTATCCTTTCTCCAGCTGTGTCGGTCGAAACCATTCCGATCCTCAAGCTGAAAAGACTTGACACAGTGGCAATCACGAAAGCAGTAACGACTCTAAATAAAAGTCTTTGCCCGTCACCAAGACACCTTCATTCTAGTACAAACATGATACTCAAGATGATGAAATTTTGAGGTATCGCAACTCATCGGTAATCGTTGCCGACTGCGCTCGGCCGTTCGTGATGAGGCGAACTAGTCCAGACGATCATGGCACGAAAATCAACACACACTGGCAAGCATGCGGTCAGCGCTCCCTCCAGACCGTTTTCTCGACGCTGCACGGGTCTTCGAGAAACTGCTTGAAGCCACGTTCGGCACCATATTCCGCAAGGAGCAAACTGAAGCAACGGAAAATGCAACCCCTTTAGCAGCTTGAAAGTTTAAAGTGACAGTTTTCCTGCTGAACTGACGTTGAAATATGGACAATTACGTTGGCAATGCGGGTAATCTAAGGAAAAGATCTGCAATTAGGGGGGGAGAATCGCTGCCATGGCCCATCGGTTGCGTCCCGCGATCAATACGGGTACGAACACGCAGTCCAACCAACAAGTTCTGTTCTACAACATTCGACGATGGCAGCCCAGCCTAACCCAGCCTATCGACCGTTGCCTCTGCCGAACAAAGCTTGGACAACTCACTTTTGACTGCAGCGCAAGGCGAGGCCTCCCCAGTCGGAGCGACAATCCGAACAGCCTATTGGCCGTTATGCATCGCTCGGCGCGAGGGGGCATGACGTTAGTTTCTCATGAAATGCCCGTTGCGGTAAGACTCTCGCAGGTGCAGCAGGCCACCCCCCTGCAACTCTCCGACAACACAACAATGTCGCTGCCGGCAAGATCTAGACCCTTGCCTGCGAAAGCCTCAATTGTCGGCAGGGACCGTTGGGCGACCGTTGTAGTCCAACAGCCTTCATCCCAGCGTTTCATCCCAATGCGCTGCTGTCGGGACGGTGAATGACGTACTGACAGGTGCCCCGATCGAAGGTTTCTCGATGCCCGTCGGAGGCATATTAAGGAGGAGCCGGGCCCAAGTCACAAAGCTTTGAGAAGGCAGGCTTCAAAGCTTTTGTGGCACATAACTCTACGGCCAAGGCTCCTGTCTAATGTTAGCTTAAAGACAAACGACTTCAACACCATCATCTCTCGTACGACTATCATCAACCTTTCAAAATGCTCGGAATCGGCGGTAGGATATCCGCCATCGTGCCAATTCTGGCTTCGGCTGTGGCCGTTGCTCTCTCAATTGTTCTTTTGGCTGCTGGGAACAGCACAAGCAGCGGCAATTCCAATTACTGGCTTTCGGTTAGTGTGTCCAGAACGAGGATGAAGAGACCCTAGCTAACTACGTGAATTTGCAGCTGAACACATCGAAGATTGGCCAACAACTCATCACAGTGCAGGCGGCTAATACGTCGAATGGAAATGGAAATGGAAATGGCGGCGGTGGCGGTGGTGGAGGTATTAGCATCCCGGGGCTTCCCACCCCTACCATTCCTGGAATCACCTCGCCGAGCGGTGGTATTAACGATCCCACGGGTATTACTAGTGGCTTGAACGGAATTCTAGGAGGACTTCTCGGAAACTTGACCAACCAACTAGGGAGCGGCATCCAGGATGTTGAGGGGCAGCTGATGGGCAACCTGACGCAGGCGTTGGGTGTCAAGGATACCTACAACCTCTTCCTGACGAAGATGTGCGAGGGTGACTACGCCAACGAGAATGATCCCAGTACCAAGACCAACATCAAGTCCTGCTTCAGTTATGACGACAAGGGACAAGGTAAGAATACTGCAATGCTGATATACTTCACCATCAGCTAACTAAGTCGGCAGGTCTTCGCAACATCACGGATTCGATTCCATCGTCATTCGTCATTGCAACGGCCAACGTTTCAGTTCCTTTGATCTCGGCGATGAGAGGCACGATTGATCAGGTTGTGTCACTCGCTAGCACAGGAGCGAAGTTGTTAACAGCTCTCCTGGCTATTGGTACCATCTGCACAGGAATCGTGCTGCTTGCGACGTTGCCAATTATCATCGTTGGCTTCATGCGTGTGCTTGTTCTGACCTCCCTAATTTTCTCTTTGCTGGGCGCTACAGTTCTACCACTTTTCGCCATCATCACAACCGCCATCGTCGTAGGTGGGAAGAAGATGCTCGATAAGGATGGTAGTGCCTTTGGCATTGAGATCAAGCAAGGAGGACCATTCATCGCCATGGCCTGGGTTGCGGCTGTTGCGTCGATGGCAGCGTCAACTTACTGGTTCATGATTTGGTTTGTTAGCTTCAGGCGAACGGCATTCAGCCGTCGCAAGCGTACTGAAACTGAGATCGGAAACTGGAGGGGTATTTTCCGCGAGGTCAAGGGTGACTTGAAGACTTGGGAGGGTGGTGAGAAATAATCAGTCCATGCGTTTGTAACAGCGTTCATGGAATTTGGGAGAGATTGAACAGCAAAGCACGTGTACATACGGGATCACTTGACGGAAATATGGTTGAACAGCACATATTCAGTAGGGCTGATGATTATGCTTAGCACAGTCTTGGTAAATAGTAATTGTTAAATTTCGATGCATCACCGTTGTTACCGCTTTATACCGCACGCTCCCTGCAAAGCACATGCTGAGTTGTGTGTGGTCAACGGTTACACATGCTTGGGTTCTCGTCGCCCCCACGCGGCGCTAGGGTATGTGCAGACGGCGCTCAGCCAAGTGCATGGACAGGACGTGCTGATATGGTCTGAGACCACGGCGAAAAAAGTATCGGCTCTCGATATTTGATGCACGCCTGAGCTTACTTGAAGAGCTTTCACTGGTATCTTCTCATAAGAGTCCAGGTTTGAGACAGGAGTGTAGAGCAATTTTGGCTTCACGGTGAAAGTTTTCTGCTCGCCCCTTTTTACATGTGTGAGGTTGAGGAGACGAACATCATGCGACATCCGCGGGAACCGACATTCTCGTTCGCCTCGGTCCCAAGTCAATACTGTATGCATAATCCAAGGCAGCATGGCCTGTGCCGATGGAAGCCCTGCAACTACTACCCTGCAGGGTTGCGCCTGACCGACACAGGATGAAGCTTGCAAAACATGTGATCTCTTTCCTGCAGACTCCACATTCGCTGTCAGAGTTTCGACATCCGTGACCATTTGGGAGGGGCATCAAATTCCAAGTGCAGAGGCTACAGTCTGGCGGCAACTTAAGGCAAAAGAAGTCTTTGAAGAATTGGTCTCGATTCGAGAGAAAATGGTAAACAGACATGGCGATTTGGAGAAAGTTGTGCAAGGGGGGCCCCGGGATCCCACGCAATGGGATGCTTTGGCCAGGGATCAGGCCTCCTCGATATCAAGGCTGGAAAGATGCTTTTTGGTCTGAAAATATTCGGAGGACCGCACATCTGCCCGCAGAACCGACGACCCGGTGCTGTTTTCAATGACTCTGCGCTTGACCACAGCACGGCGAGGCCAACTATTTGCAACATAAAGCCGATTTTTATGAATGATGTTTGCGAGCAATTGATATGTTCAAAATAATTTGATCGATTCCATTGGATCATACGACGGCCTGCGTGGTCCAAAATTTTTCCTGGAGGTCAATCGACAGAGTCTAGTTGGGGTGACACGGCCTGCAGCCGATTGGCTACAGATGCACTGCAAAAATACTTTACCACGTCCATCTTGTGGCACATGGCATGCGGGGAACCAGCCAGTCAGCAGAGACTATCACGAGTTCTGCCCAATTACCAAAAGGCCCTAATGCAGTCTTCCATGTATTGCAGTTGTAGACGCGCATTTGAGCCACTTGAGTGCGATATCACATCATTCGGGCGATGAGCGGTGAGGCTGACTGCAGGTGATATGTGAAGAAGATGGCTTCATAAATCCCGTCCCCACTTGGCCTAAGCTAGTCGTAATGCCTCCTTACACTCAACTTTCTCAACTCACGATCGCTTTCCTCAAACCTCCATGATGTCTGAGAAGACACCCAACTTATCGTGCCTGCCACCAGAGTTGCATCTATTCATACTTCAAGAGCTTGCCAATCTATGCAATGAAGACTATGCAGCAAGACCCGGGATGGGCGCTTACGCCAGTGTCTGCAAGAGCTGGCAGATGTTCTTCGAACCGCTAGTCTTCCAACACTTCACCCTCGCTCGAGAGGATTTATCCGAATTCAGTAAAGTCACGCAAGACAACAGGAGACGGAGTCTGGTCCGACACATTTGGCTCAGACTCGAAGAACCGTCGGCGCTCCAACATTCAGAGCTGGGCCTCGAACAATACAAATGGAGCCAACCATACTTCACCGACATCATTTGGAACCTATGGACAACTATATCCCAATGGAAGGTTGAGGCACTGGCGGAAATTGGTGGTCAACAGGGCTTGACGCTCGAACTCTCTTCTCACAAGTCTTTTCCGATGCAGGAGGATACATTTATACCGCGAGAGGATTACAGGGCGTACTCCCAGTCTCTTGGCAATGGATTATCTGCAGCTTACAAAACAGTAAGCAAGTACTACTTCAACGCCCCTCTTTATGGCGGGGATCTTAGCACAAAAGCAAAGAGAGACTTGTTTTGCAAAGGGGTTAGGGTCGACAGCAAACCTCTTCCCAAGGTGGAGGTTGTGACTGGGTTCTTCACCAGAAGAGCATACACGCAGAATGTCCGACCAGAGGTTCTTTTCTTGATATTCGACAGTCTTCCTAGGGCGAGAGACATCAGAATTGAACGGTGGCGACATGGACTGGTAGCCTGCGAAAATGAGTGGCGCAATGGTAAGTTGGACTGCAACGCTAGAGAAGGTCCCTGCATCGACTTTGCTAAAGACAGCCCCTTATTCTAGGGATGCAAGTTGACCTTCCACATCATATTCCCGCTTCCCTAGAAAAGCTGGCCATCTTCGAAGAGAAAGGGCCCCGGAATGGCCGATTCAATTTGATCCCGAATGACAAGTTGACCGAGTCCGTCATATTGGGTACACTTCATCTCAAGCGTCTATTTCTGTGTTTCTTCATCAACGGAGATGAATTCTTCCAGAAACTCTCGAAGTCTGATATGACGCAACGTGTTTCTGGACGAGGGTATCAGCAACTGACTTCCCTGACCCTGACTTCTCTTCGCCTGAAAGCTAAGATTGACGGAAATTGGGACATGCTGACATGGCGCGGTGGAGTGATAGAACTGCTTCAGATGGCTGCTACAGCGACTAAACTCATGCCAAAATTACGATTGATGGAAGTCTGGAATGGCGGCGATGGGAATGCTAGCGTCTTTCGGTATGAAGTCAGTGACGACAACAAGGGTGAAATCAGTTGGCAGAGCACACAGAATTGCGACCCGTTTGAGCAAGAGGTCATCGAGGCTTGGAAAGAGGTTGCTCAGGATCATGGATTAAGTGGACAGACGGTTCGTCCGCCGACACTTCTATCGGGAGATTTTACGTATTACGGCTCGATCATTCCTCTATTGAAATCCAAGGGGGAGGTGCTTCATCCAATGTCTGTCGCTCAGATGACTTAGAAGAAACTTGTCAACTCGGATGCTCGATCTCAATAGGTAGTTTATTGGGAGAATTGTACACTACTCAGACAGAGATCTTCAGCAAGAAGCGTGCTAACCCGCCATCTACACCAGGGCGGTAGCATCCTTGGATCCTTCTGGCTTATCGGAGCATCTTGAATGCATGAATTGTGGGTCGGTAATATCTCGCGCTAACCCCTCTCCAACACCACCTTGGGCTCATGCTTAAACGACTGCCTAGAATTGGCGCATACAAGCCAACGGCCCACCTACACTTCAAACTGATGTAGAGACATGGATCAGTGTCACGATGCTGAGGGCGCAATGCTGTGCGATAGATGTTCCGCCATCAGCTTCAACGATGGAGAGTTATTCGGATCTCACGTTGACGAAAGCGGTCCGATTCGATGGCAGCTGCCATTTGATCTTACTGATGACGGACCCGAGTTCCCGCAGTTAAGACAAAGTGCCAAGACCGGGTGTCACTTTTGCGCTCTATTACTTCACGAAATCATTGCAGAGTTTGAGGACGTCGAGGCTCATAGATATCGAGTCAAGTTGAACCTCTACTACCACTGGGAGCAGCGCAGCCCTTTCCGACTGGCTTTCTTAGTAGTAGAAGCACCATGGTGGACAGGAAAAGACGTCGCAGAGCCAAGTGTGTCTCTACAGTATGTTCGACTCATTTTCGAAGTCGAAACGGACGATCGTAAGTTCTGCGTTTGAGCATTGAGGCTGAAAAATATTGTTATGGATGAAACTCTGACCATTTTCTAGAAATTTTGCAGAATTGGCTGAAGGTTCCTAGTCTCCGAAAGAAGCAGGTGCTATGCGAAGAAAACATCGACTTCATGAGGCATGCCATCAATGACTGCAGAAATTCGTGCAGCCACACTGTCGCTTCTAAGCATTTGCCGACAAGGCTGCTTGACGTCAAGCCTAATGAGAAAGGGGTCGTACGCCTGCTGGAAACCTCTGAAGTCAGGTCACGCACAGAACTCAACAATAAGACTTACTAATATGTCGCATTGAGCTACTGCTGGGGCTCAGAGGATGACACAGCTTCTCAAATCTCGACAACCAGAAACATGTTGTTTTCCCACAAAAGAGGTATCAAAGAAGAACACCTGCCTCAAACATTAAGAGACGCAGTACATGCCTGCCGAGCGCTTTCAATAAGATATCTATGGCTAGACTCTCTCTGCATTGTTCAGGACGATATAGAAGACTGGGAGAAGGAAAGCGCCTCGATGGGTCTCATATACAACAACGCACTTCTCACGATTATAGCTGCGTCTTCGAATTCATGCCACGACGGCTTTCTACAAAGAGAACGCAAGGACATACAAGTATCCTTCTCATCTCGGATGGCTCCAACCCTGGGCGGCCATTTCAACCTCGTGTTCTCTGGCAAGACTTATGCTCCGCACACACTCGACATCTGGTGGCCAACAAGGGACATCAACGATGCGAAGTGGGTCAAACGCGGATGGACACTGCAAGAGGAGATGATGTCCAACCGACGTCTTATTTTCGGACAGTTCATGGTTCACTTCCAATGCGAAGCTGGAACCAAATCCGAGAACGGATATTCCAGTGACAAAACAATCGGCAGTGGCTTGTCCATGCAAAGTCTCGTGAGAGGCAGCGCTGACAGTAACGAACCAATCATGTTCAGGGTATGGCACTGGATGTTAGTAAACTACACCGAGAGATCTTTCACCATACCACAAGACGTTTTACCAGGCATATCCGGTATCGCGGGGCTCTTTGCAAATCATCACGGCCTTCCTCAAGAATCCTACCTCGCGGGAATTTGGAGAGAGGATTTCGAGTATTCTCTGATATGGTGGAAAGACTCCGAGTTTGGAACAGAAGACTTTGCGAATGTTCAAGAACTCGCACTGGCTCTTTGCAATCCGTCACCCTATTTAGCACCGTCCTGGAGCCCACTAGGGCAACGACTAGTCACCAGTTTGACGTTGATGGGGATCTTCAGCAGCGACTTCCTACCAGAGTGTCTCATCGTTGACGCTTCCACAACCACCAAAGGAGCGGATCCATTTGGTCAAGTGAAATGTGGGAGTTTTACTGCAAAGGCAAAATTTGGCCCTGTTCCTTCAGAACTTGTACTGGGTCATTGCAGTGGATTTGATACAACGAACTGGCAATTGAGACAGTACGGAAGAGTTCTAGCTTATTGCTTCATTGGAATGCTGAAGAGGACGACACATAAGCCAGATGGTTTGTTCATGCTGATGATTGGAAGCTCGAATGCGCAGAAAGACTGGATGCATAAGGTGCGGAATGTCTTGGATTATGCGGAAGATGACTGCTCAATTTGCAACTTTAACACCGACGAAAAGTTCGAGACCGAGGCGTGGAAAAATGATGCGATGGCTTGCGCTGACGGCGGTTCTGGGCACGATGATGCGAAATCGTTGACTTCAGGGAAGAACGAGAAAGATTATTGGGGCATTCTGCTACATCCATCTCACATACCAGGGCAGTACATTCGGGTGGGCGCCTGGCTATCTTCGGCGTACGATAGAGGAAACTCGAACCTTTTCAAAGAGATGGAGACTCGTGAAATTGTGGTAATATGACAGTGATCTCTCAACCGACGGTAGCCATTATATAAGTTGAAGAGGCGAGTTGGTTGATGAGATCTCCGTGCCGGACTCAGGATTGCATCTTAGAATTGGTTGATAGCGTATCAAGAGTTTGGCCTTCACGGCTTCTTCGCAACCTCCGCAGCATTCTCATCATTAGAGGATCGATTCATGTGCATTTCTTTGGCAGATGAGCTGAGCTACCGCAACAAAACCTTGAACTGAGATTTGCAAGTAAGACATAGCTAATGCTGTGACGATAAATATACCACTAGACAATGCATGGCTCCATGAACTTGGGCCACAACTCGGAAATCGAGCTCGGAGACAGCTTTTCCTCTGACCACAAAATGACCGATGAGAGCTGGACTATTGTGGCACGACTTTTCGGATTCAAGACAGGACAGCGTAGTTAACTTGGCTATTTAGGAGAACCAATGCGAACCAAGAAGACGTTTCGCATGTGCCAACAAAGCCTAAGGTAGAGTAACACGAAGGTTACATGGCAGTCCTGCGATACGTCAGCCGATGAGAGTGGCCAAGACTTGGTGGCAAGGCCTTGCCGCGGGGTACAGCCACTGACCGCAAGTCACGAAAACCTCACATTTCCTTTTTGGGAATGACTCCCCAGATGTAAGATGGTTCATGTCGATCGCTGTTCGTAATAGGGAAACTGCTGTTCACGACGACAGAATCTCACACTCGGAATCATCTGGCATGGCATGAAGCTGTGCTTCCCCATACGGCGGACTCCGAGCAGGAGAACCGATCAGCTATGGCGGACACTGTGTGGCCTTTGAAAAGGCTCTGTGTTTCTATTCAAATCCGAAGAACTAGGCAGTACCTTTGCATATCATTGGCACTTGACATCTGAATATTTGTTTCATATGCAGTATATCATTGGAGCATGTGGAATTTGTGTAAATTGTATGCGTTTGAACAAAACCAGAGTTCTTTGTACGTGTCCTCAGCTGAATAATCTTGAGTTGTAGATTCTACGATGCTTTGGCAGTCTGAGATGATCTTGTGCTCATCGCACGTGACTTGCATGCAAGTCTCAGAACAGATGAGAAGCTGGGAAATCGTGTATCAGTGGCTTGAGATGGCGTGATAATTTGACTCACTTCAGTGGCAGCATGTTGAAATAGGTAGCTTGCCACATTTCAGCATACTTGACCTACGTTAGGGATAAAGTATAAGAAGCATCGAGCCCAGTTATGAATGTTCAAACCTCTGCAGCAAAACAACCAAGATTATTCACCATATCCCTTGAACCATCTTGCCTAACACTCAGTCTCTGATCTCCTCCATCTGCAACAATGAAAAGCATTGCTCTGATACTCGCACTTGCTACAGCTCATGTAGTAAGTTCAGCACAACGACGTCTTTATATATGGGCATGTGTTTACTAATTTGATGAATCCTATCCAGGCTTTCTCAAGCGCTCTTCCAAGTGCTGAGACGATGGGACTTCTCGCCGCCAATGAGGTGGACCCGCAATGGGAATTTCCTACTGGCGCCAATGGACCGCTCATCAAGTTCAATGGCACCGTCGAGGCTCTGTACGCCTATGTGTCCAAGGAATATCCATCGTACATTGCTTCTGTGTTCGAGCCGGAAGCCCCCACGCAGGGTCTCGAAACGCGTGAAGATGCTTCTGGCTTTCTCGAGAAACGCACAGACTTCAGCTCCCGCCCTGTCAGTTGTCAACTTCTGGTTAGCCGCTCCCGCATTAGGGAGGGCATCGACTACTTGCGTCGCGTAAGAGGACAGCCAAGCATGGAACCGAACCGCTGGAGTCGAGTCAGTTGCTCATACGACTCCGCAATCTCGTGGATAAACACAGTACGTAATGAGTTTTATACCAAGTCTATCTAACTACAACTTCATTGAACCCATTAAATGTGGTTCCTGCAGAGTTATTGCGAAGATACTAAATCTGAATGCAGTCCAGCAGGCGGAAGACGCTTGAATCCTTCGGTTCTATCGCCGATGGTGCCCAGCGTATTTATACCCAGTGCAACAGAAATGACCGTACCGGAGGGCGAGTCAATCATCAGACTCAGTGGGGAGTCAGCGCTCATGGGGACCGTTGTTGATCAAAGACGTGCCATACCAGATGGAAAACCGTGAGAAGTAGCTTGTACTTGGTCCGGGTTTCACATCTTTTAACTGAAAGAACGCCTTCGATGTTTCTATTGGGAATCAGTCTTTGGACCAGAGAGTCGAAGACTTTTCGATGATCAACTTGAAGCCTTTGCTTCACACTACACTCATTTTGTTATCTCCAGAGTTCTATGTAGTCAGTACTAGGTAGCCACTCTCATTCAGCACCAACCTCCACTTTTATACACACTCATTCAATCAGGGATAATTCATGTCCTGCCTTTCTACCAAACTCGCAGAAGATGGTGCCTTGCTGGGCCGGAGATCACTGTACTCAACAGCTCACCGTGCTCTACGCAGACCCCGAGACTCGGCGGTCTTGAGGGACACCTGATCTGCTGTAGTTCTTCATGCCTGGTGTTTAATAGATGATGTTCAATGCTGAAACAGAAGTCTTTGGCCACAAGAATAAGATTCAATCGCGTTTAAAAGGCAAAGATGAAGAAAAGCTGCAAAACCCCATGACGACGAACGTATCATACACCCGACGCCTCCATGGCTCAAACCATACCCATCGCAGTTCCCTCAAACAAGTCAGCCCACCTCTTGCCAACTCGCGACGCGTTGCACTCGGTCGCATCCACACAAACATTAACAGGGTTCGTCCCATCCCCGCAGCAGTTGCCCGTCAAGCAAACCTTGCCCTCATCACACTGCTTCTCCTGACTGCACTGGTTCTCCTCCAGACACGACCCCGTCCTGAACGCAATGCCTCCCCCGCCGAGCATCGATCCGCAAAAGCAATTGGAGCCTGCGATCGAGGACTCGGGCGGGTAGAACTTGCTGCCGCCCGAGAAGATACAGTTTCCGGGGTTCGGGCAGCAGGCCATGACCGTCGGGTCCGTGATGTTTCGGTCATATTCTGGGGTAGGCGAGGGCATGACAGTGATCTCGGCGAGTGTGGAGGGTGTTGTGGTGGTGCCGGCTGTGAAGGCGAGATTGAGAGGCTCAGAGGAGGTCTGCAGGTACCGGCAGACCTGGGTCTGAATAGTTGTCAACCCGTAGCCCTCAATCAGATCTCCCATTCCAGATCCGGCTTGGGATGTAGAGTCCCCAAAGGTCGAGACAGAGTAGTCATAGATCCCAAGGAAGCTACCGATCACGTCCAGGAGACTCTGGCCACGGTCCGTGACAAAAGGCTTTAGCAGTTCCCGAAGGTTGATCACGTTGCCAAGTTCCTGAGACAGGAGACTCCACATAGAAGCCATTGAAGGGCAAGTCCCGTTTAGTGATCCTTTCGTGAGGTAATCAAGTGTCTGCTGGACTGAAGTCTCACAGTCCGCCGCAGCGCCACCGCCACCGGGCCAGGTACAAGTAGCAACAAATTCACCCTCCTGCTTGGGAACATTCGCACAAGGATTCTCTCCTAGAGACACGGCGACTGGCAAATCAGCACGCGCGGCGTTCCCGCACTGATCTTTTAGCCGAAGCAGCACATCGAACGCGCTGGCCTGTCTCTTTTCCAGAGGTCTCCCAGAGGGAGTGTCGAAGAGAGCTGCGCCGGCAGTAGTGCACCCAGCCAAGCTGTTGATCTGACTGAAGAATCCAGAGATGAAGACATCAATTTTCGGCGAGCAATCAGCGGAAGCAAAGTGTAGACCCTGACTGTCGATGGAGAGCGTGTTGCCGTCTTCGTCGATGATTGCCAGCTTCGCGGCATCGGATACATCGATGAGGACAGGGTCTGATGTGGTCTCGTTCATGAGCCGGATGTACTTGACGGAGTTGGTGGTATTGTCCAGGTAGAAGGCGTCGATGTAAGGCGCGGTCTTGCCTCGAGTGTCTAGCTTGGACTCGTGCAGGGATTCTGTGGGAGAGGGGAGGGTGTAGCATGTGCTCGCGTTCTGAGATGCCACGATCGAAATGCCTGTGAAGGCGGAGTCGAAGGCGCTGGATGTTGATGAGACCGTAGCTGAGGATGAGCCTGAGGAGCTGGTTGCGGTGGCATTCTGCGATCCGGTGATGGTGGCAGTGCCGATGAGAGTCCATATTGAGACACGACCATCTGGGAGGGTGCTTGTCAGAGTGACGGCGTCGCCAGTTGGAGCTGAGGGAGCTGTGGTGGTTGCGCTCGGGCTGAGAGTTGAGCCGTCTGAGACCGTCCACGTGGATGCGGCGCCGTTGATGATGCTTGTGATGACAATGACCTGTCCTGTCGGAGGTGGCGCGGCGCTTGTTGTATTTGAAGGTAGAGGCAGAGTCACGCCGTCTGAGATGATCCAAGTTGACGCTCCGCCGCCGATAACACTGCTGATGACTGTAATCACTCCTGGGCCGTTGGTTGGAACGGGGGTTGGCGAGAGTGTTGAGCCGTCTGAGATCGTCAGAGTGACTGGCCTGCCATTGATGGTACTGGTAATGGTGATAACCCCCCCAGTCTGAGTCGGGGATTGCGTAAGAGTTGACGTGGTGTTTATAGGACCAAACAGAGTCGACCCATCGGATACGGTCAATGTCGTAGCCGCACCACTGATGATCGTTGTTATAACGATGACCCCAACTGTTGGAGTAGGGCTTTGAGTTGAGGTTGTCGTTGTACTCGTTGGGGTTGAAAGAGTTGATCCGTCGGACACGGTAACCGTGGTTGGTTCTCCGTTAATGATGGTGGTAATGACGATGACCTCCCCAGTCGGAGTGGGAGTTGAGCTGGTGGTAGGCGATGGCTCTCCCAAAGTCATGCCATCCGAGACGGTGATAGTAGTTGCTTCGCCATTAATCAACGTCGTAACCACAATGACCCCAATACTAGGCCTTGGCGTCGGGGTTGCGGTACTGCTTGCCGACGTTACGATTGTGCTGCCGTTGGAGACTGTGATTGTTGAGACTGCACCGTCGATGGTGCTCGTGATCACAATGACACCACCGTTGGCTGTTGTAGTCGGGGATACAGGCGCACTGCTAGGCTCTGTCCCTAGAGTCGTGCCGTCGGATACTGTGAAGGTTGTCGGCTGACCCTCAACGATGCTTGTGATGACGATAACTCTATCAGTAGGTGACGGCATCGCAGTTGCAGTGCCACTTCTCGATAATGTTCCAAGAGTCAGGCCGTCTGATACGGTGAAGGTAGTCAGCTCCCCATTGATTGTGCTCGTGACAACGATCACCTCCCCTGTCGGCGAAGATGCCGGAGCAGAGGAACTTGTGGTTGATGCAACGATGGTAGAGCCATCCGAGACGGTCACTGTGGTCGCAGATCCATCGATGATGCTGGTAACGACGATGATCCCGCCTGTAGCTGTAGGATTTTGGGAGATGTCACTGGTAGGAGACGTCGTAAGCGTGCTTCCATCAGAGACCTTAATTGTGGTAGCAATGCCATCGAGAAAGCTCGTGATGACAGACACACCGGCTGACAACGTCTGGGAAGGAATCGACGTGGCCGTAGCGGTAGTTAGCCCGGAAGACGGTATGAAGGTTGATCCACCGATCAAAGTCAGAGTCGTAGCAGAGCCGCCGATGACCGTCGTTACCACACTGAAACCTCTTGATTGCGTCTCAGATGCCGTGGAGCTTGATGTACCATTTGCAGGTATGAGGGTAGACCCGCCGACCACCGTGATCGTAGTGACTGCTCCGTCGATGACGCTTGTGATCACACTGACCTCGGCGGATGGAGTCTCAGAAGGCGTGGAAGTCGTCGAAGTCGTCTGGTTGAGAGGCAGGGACAGAGTTGAACCGCCGACGAGTGTGATAGTCGTGGCCTCGCCATCGATGAAGCTCGTAATCGCACTGATACCCGCAGACGTCGTCTCTGACGGTATCGAACTGGCCACGGAAGTCCCATTCGCTGGGCGAAGGGTCGATCCGCCGATGAGAGTGGTCGTCGTAGCCTCACCACCAATGACACTTGTGACAACACTGAAATCCCCGGACCAGGTCTCGAATGGCGTCGAAGTCGTAGCAGAAGCTGTCCCATTCCAAGACGCAGTCGAAGTTGGACGCCCGATCGTGATGACGGTAACCTCTCCGCTAATAACGCTGGTAACAATCGACACTTGGCCACTCGTCGTCGTGGACGCCGGACTCGTTGAAGTGGTATTCGGGAACGGAACCCCAGTCGGAAGTGTTACAGCCCAAGTCGAAACCACTCCGCCCCCGAAATCGCTGGTGACGGTGCTGATCCTCGCCGTCGGATTCATCGTAGGTGAACTTTGGGTAGACCCCGAGATCCAAGGGAGCGTCCACTGTGAAGCCCCTGAACTTGAGCTCGAGGCCGGAGTCTCCGTCGGGGTGGGAGGTGGCACATCGTGTATCTCCCCAGTGATGGTCGTCACAGTTCCGTTGATGACCATCGTGATCGTAGTCCCCGGCCGTCCCTGAGGAGATCTCAATGGTGTTCGTGTGAGTGTGCTCACGACCTCAGACCCATCACTGACAATCGTAGTGACAACCGGCACATCAACAACCTCGCTCACGGGCACCGTAATCGTCGAGACCCATCCAGACGAAGTCCCGCTCGGCTCCTCTGACAGCGTAATCACCGTGAACTCGCCTCCACTAGTCGGCAACACCTCACCAGACGAAGCCGAAGTCCAGGGAGATGGCGGCCGCCCGGCATTACCATCGCTCGACAACGCAGTGACATACACAGTCTCGACGCTCGTCTCGGTGACTTGAACGGTGGTAGTAGCCTCCGCCAGCCCACACGTCCAGGCTGTGGTGGCCGTCAAGCCATCCCCTGGAACAGAAAAGGAGTAACCCCCAGGGATATCGGTGTCCGTCGGAGCAGGACGTCCAACCACCCCAGAAGCCTCCGTCGAAGTCTCTGTCGCTGTCGCGGAGATATCCAAATCCGCAGTAGAGTATATCGAGCCCTCCGCAGTCTTTGAATGACAAGGCGGCGCGGAAGTTGCAGAGCTGATACCGAGAAGACACCAACACTATTCTCATCAGCAAGCCACTCGTTGACAACAGGACGCAAAACTCACCGCAGAAGACACCTTCGCCTCCTCATACCCAGTCGGCACCCCTTCCGGAATCGAGACCGTGCTCGTCGCCTCCACGAAGCCTAACACCGAAGAACAGTACTCCACCGCACCGTGCCGCTCCATGCCGCGGAGGAGGTTATCCCCATGACACCCCTCCGCAGCAACGGCGACTCCGCCCAGGAGCGCCAGCGCCGCCGACACACGCATCGTCAGAAGTAGAAAGAGAGGATATCGAGGAAATCTTCTGGAAAGAAAACAAAAGGAGCGAGCAATTCAGCGAGCGTCTTCTTCAGCCGGTGGAAGGTCTCGGTGTGCCGGGAAACCAACCGACTTGCCATCGACCTGCAACCGAGACCTTTATACAGCAAAAGTACACTCTCGAACCCTCCAGCTTCCGTCTATCGTCACATTTACAACGACAGGGTGCTTCTCCCGAGACGAGACCAAAGAACTGGCTCTGGAAGAGGTGTCCCCTCCTCCGAGACACTATCACATACGCGTCCACAAAAGGTGGGTGAGATATCTACCCCCAAGCCTCGTGTCCCCGGCCCGAAGCTTCGTCACGATCGAACCCCAAAGACGTTCATCGACCTCACATCCGCCTAATTCCAGCTCTATCAATGACCTCGCCACACAGTTCTCCAAAATCCCAAGAAACAAGACCAGCGCAACGTAACACACCAGCTGCACGCACTTACCCGAGACACATCCCCCTTCACCCACCGAGATCATGCAGGTCCCAAACGTGACAGTCTCCATCACAATTCCCGTTATCTCGGCCAATAATCCCAAAAGAACCTTCGTTTCAGCCACAGTGACGTCCAAAATCCGGGGTACCACGCGACCCTCACGCGAAGAGCATAACCATGTCCCTCTTCCCGCCGCCATTCGCCAACGATCCCTCCCCTCTCACGACCAACATTGCAACCAGAAACCTTGTCCTTCACAGCATGGTACACGATCACGCAGTCGAGGCGACCCAGGAAGCGAGGAGTCATACAAACCACGAGTCACGTCACCATGCACACACGCCAAAAGGATCCAATGAGACTTCACAATAAACAAGCAGAAAGCCAAGGCGTGCCTCCCATTTCATTTTATACCAACAATTAGCATCTACCCAGCGCCTCTCGTACAGTCATTATTCCCATGACACACAAGATACCAACCCCCCTGACCTTAGAAAATCAAAACAACACAAAATCAAGATGCCATCATTCATTAAACTTCATCTCACTCTTCCGCCCCCTTTTTGGTCTCGTCATCTCGCCGCAGCAGTCTGCTGCGTCGCCTGACTCCCAGGTGGCAACTGCCTTGTCCTGACAATGTAATCCTGGTTCTCAATCGTGACACTCTTCGTCATGTGGTTCACCTTGTAGACACCAACCAACCGAGCCGCCAACTCAAACATGTTGTTTCGGAGCGAAATGACAATGAATTGGGCGTTCTTGGTGCGCTCCTTGATATAGTTGGCGACGATAGAGACCTGAGGTATATGTTAGCATTGCTGAAAGGGGAATGGCGGGCGGGTAACTCACGTTTCTGAAATCCAAGGCAGCGTCAATCTCGTCCATGACGTACAGGGGCGTCGGCTTGTAGTGGTGCAGAGCAAAGACGAGCGCCAAACTGCTGAGCGTCTTCTCTCCACCAGACAAGTTGCTGATGTTCTTCCATGACTTCTTTGGGGGCATGACGCTGAACAGGATACCTTCGCTGAAGGGATCGAGAGAGTCCACGAGCTCGAGCTCGGCGTTACCACCCATGGTGATCATCTGGTACATCTCCTTCAAGCGGAGCGAGATGGTGCTGAAGCCCTCCATGAAGCCTTCGAGACGCAGACGGCGGAGCTCATCGCAGCGCTTCTTGGCGGCGTCGCGCTGACCAACAGCGTTCTGGAGGTCGGACGATCGCTGCGCGTGCTCGTCGACACGGCGGCGGTACTCGGAAAGAACACCGAGATCGACATTGACATTCTGAGTCTTTTCCTCAAGAGCAGCGATCTCTCCCTTGAGCTTGTCCTTGCTCATGTCGGCTAGCTCGTCAGGGGTGTATACAGGGAGCTCTGACGGCTGCTTAGCCTGCTCCTCGGATTCACCTTCCTCTTCATCAGCGGCCTCATCGGCCACAGCTGACTGCAGGGTCTCATCTGCCTCGGCCCGTACCACTGTGTCGTCACCTTCCTCGTTCTCATCCTCTTCACCCTCGGTCTTGGGGGCGGGCTTCGGTGCAGGGGTACGTCTACCAGAAGGGTTGGTGTTGGTAAGGTCGTCAACATTCTGCAGGACGAGCTTTCCAAGCTTGGTATTCCAGTACATGAGCCTCTTCTGGTTCTCCTGCAGAACCTTGGTACTCTCTTCAAGCTTGTTCTTCATCTCAATCTCCACCGCGCGGGTGGTGTTAAGTTCTGCAGTCTTCTCGTCGAGCTCGGCCTTGATGGATGACAGCTCGTCCTTCTTCGCTGACAAACCCTCCTCGGCCTCTTCGACTTGCGCCTGGAGAGTTTCCGCCTTCTCGCCCTGGTTCTCGATCTCGTGCTCCAGCTTCTCGAGATCACGGGTCGCGACATCGAGTTCCTTGGTGGCCTTGGCGTGATCCTTCTCCAGCTTCGTCTTCTGCTTCTCCGCCTTGACCTTGCGAACCTCTGCGTTGGAAGTCTCCTCGTTCTGAGAGGCCATCTCCTCCTTCAACGCGTCGACGTTGGCCTTTTGGATACGAAGCTTCTCACCACCGACCTGCATGATCTTGTCCTGGAGTGCCTTGATCTCCTCCTCGACGCCAGATGTCTCGTCGTGGAGCTTTTCGACCTCCTTGTTGAGCTTGGCAATCTCCTTGCCGAGGGCAGCGATGCGCTTATCATCGGATGCGGACGGCTGGTGCTCCTTGCTCAGTTCCTTGATGCGACGATGGGCGTCGGCGAGATTTCTGGCGGCGCTCTCGATTTCAAGGTTGATCTTTTGCATCTTGGTGTCGAGTGCAGGGATCTGCTCGTTGAGGTCACGCAGCCTGTTCTCGAGCTCTCTCTGCTGCTCCTGGAAGTCTTGGTACTTCTCCTCATAGACATCACGCTCCTCCTCGAGCTTGGCGACTTGCTCCTTAGTGGTGTCGGAGGCGAGCTTTGAAGACATTAGACCCTTCTTGACAGTGTTACCACCACCAGACATGGTACCGGACTTGTCAATCAACTCGCCAGCGAGAGTCACCACACGCCATCTCTTGGCGCCGTAGGCAATTCTGTTGGCTTGAGCAAGATCCTTGGCGACCAGTGTGTCTTGCAGGGCATGGTAGAAAGCCGGACGGAACCTCTCTTCCTTGGGGTTGACCAGGTCGAACAGGCGGGGTGCGTTCTCCGGAGTCTGGATGGGGTTCATGTCTCGTACTCTCAGCTTGTCCAGACACATGAAGTTGCCACGACCCAGGTTGGTCTTTCGGAGGTACTCAATGCACTGCTGTCCAGCCTCGACCGTGTCAGTGACGAAGTTGTCGAGGGAACCGCAAGCAGTCGAGATAGCGACGTCATATTGACCGTCGATCGCACCGAGATTTCCAAGTCTTCCGTGAAAGCCGTCGATACGGCCAGACTCTCGCATGCGCATCAGGGCAGTGAGGACGTTGCCCTGGGTCTGTGTCTTAGACAGACTCGAGCGAGCTTCGTCAGCCTTTTGTCTGGCATTGGAGACCTTTGCACGAATCTTGGGCTCGTGAGCAGCAAAGCGGGTAAGCTCGTGCTCGGCCTCCTTGGCCTCTTGTTCCAACTTGGCCTTCTCAGCCTGGCATTCCTTGAGCTCCTCCATCTTGGCTGCTCTGCGGTCCTCAATGGCGGCAATCTTGGCTTCAGTTTCGGCGATGGCAACAGCGCCCGCGTTGGCCTTCTCCTCGAGAATGCTCTTTTCGCTCTCAGCGACGGCAATGGCAGACTGCTTTTGGTTGATCTTGTCCTTCCATGGCTCGAGAGACTTTTGCTTGACTGCAATCTCATCGGAAAACTTTTGAGTCTTGCCCTTGAGACCCTCACGGATGGTCGCGAGCTCTGCCTCCTCTTCCTGGATTCGGATCTCCAGAGAGGCGATCTCCTTCGCGCGGGTCTCAATCTCCTCGCCGCACTCGACGATAGTCTCCTCGGCTTCGGTGGCAGATTTTTCGGCATTGGCGATGGTCTTCTCAAGCTTCTTCTGCTTGTCGTTGAGGAACTTCTTCTTTTCGTCAAACTTGACGCGTTCTTGCTCGAACTTGGCCATCTCCTTGACAAGGGCCTGCGTCTTCTTAGATTCGGCCTCGTGCTCCTTGCTGACTTGAGAGTGGGCCTTTTGCAGTTCCTTGATGACTTTCTCGCTTCCGTGGTGCTTCTCGAGCTCCTCGTCAAGCTGAGCCTGCGTCTGACTGATGGCCTCTTCGGTAACTGCGACATTGTCGTGGCACTCGGCGATGTACAGCTGGTAGAGCGCAGACTGCTTGAGAGTGAGTTCGTTCTCGTCCCGGATGTATGCCAAAGCCTTGTTCTTCTTGTCTTCGAGGCTGTTCTTCTCCTTTTCGACATGCTGGACACGGCCGCTCTTCTCCATGCACGTTTCGTTGAGACTCTCGACTTCGGCCGCGGCCTCTTCGATAGGCGTCTTATACTTGGAGGTGCCGATGATGTCCTCCAAGTACTCGAGAAGACCATCGTCGTGTTCGTTGGCAGCCTTAGGCTTCATCTGGGCAATGGACTCGACTTCACCCTGCAGAATGAGGAAACGCTTGTGGTCGAGATCAATACCGCGGTCGCGGAGGAGGGTCGTCACCGTCGTGAAGTTTGAAGTCTTGCCGTTGATGAAGTACGAGCTCGAGTTGTTCTTGAACGCCTTGCGGGAGATGATGAGATCGGAATCGGGAATGACTTCGTGGCCGCCACCGGGCTTTAATGTGTTAGTATGTTACCTGCGCATACACTAAGGTGCTGACATACCTGGTCCATGACTTCACGGAAGTGCACAGAAACCTCGCAGTGGTCCAGATTGGGGTACTGCGCAGAGTTGTGGATCAAAGCGGACAACTTGCCTTGACGCATCTTGCTTGCGCGGAAACCGAAAACGAAGAGCAGAGAGTCGATCACGTTGGACTTTCCGGAACCGTTGGGACCGACGACAGATGAAAAGGAGCCGTGGAAGGGGCCGACCTCCTGTCGTCCTGCATAACTCTTGAAGTTGGTCAAGATCAAGTAGGAAATGACAAGTCGCGGCTTGGGAGTCGTGTCCTCGACAACTGGGACTGCGAGATTGCGCGACTTCAGCACGATGTCCATTGGCTTCTCCATAATGGTGTCCATGGCACGGATCGGCTTTACGGTCGCTGGTGTTTCGGGCACATCAGAGATGGCAGGCGCCTGTTCGTTGACACTGGCGTTCGTGATGTCGGCGAGCGGCTCGCTACGGCGCTGCGACGACTCGCGCTGCGGTGAGGCACCTGGCCTGGGCTTCGCCATTGGAGTCTCTGGAGTGGCGGACTTGGGAGCGGCGCTCTTGCGCGGTTTCCTCGGGGTAGGAGAAGGCTTCCTGGGGGTGTTTTCCTGCTCCATTGCTGCGGCAGTCTGGTTGGCGTCAAAAACCTCGGTTGGCTCGATGGTGGAAACGATGGTTCCGTCGGCTACTGACGGAGCGTCGGCGAGGACTGTCTCGTTCTCAGGCTCCTCAGTCTTTGGGGTTGGCTCGACCACAGAAGGCTCCTCGACTACCGAAGCTTCGACATTCTTCTTTGGTCTGCCTCTTCGGCGCGGGGCGGTGGTTGTGGGAGTAGATGTGGATGCGGATGCGGAGGCAGCGGCGCTCTTGCGGGCGCGGGTTGGTCGTCGCACTGGGCTCTTAGAAGGTTCGGGTTCAAAGTCTTCCTCGTCTTCGACCTTGACGGTGGTGTTGGCGACATCTTCATCGTCGGAAGAGTCAACGATGGCCTGCCGGCGCGTCGCACGGCGCGGTCGGGATGACATTGTGCGGTCTGTGTGTCGCAGAGAACGAGTACCAAGAAGAAGCGATGTAAGACGCTGTGGGGGTATCTCAATCAAAGAATTGACAAGAAACCAAAGAGAAAAGGTAGCAAAAGCAACGACAGCAACTTTGCTGGGAAAGAAACGGCGTGCGTTGGCGATGTGCAGCTGTGGGAAAAGCGAAATGTGATTGTCTTGTTTGGTTCCCCCACTTCGCATTTGTTTGAATTGGTCACCGATTAGGCTGATTGTAAACAAACAAGCCACACTCGGCACACCGCCTTCCCCGCCTGCTGCCGAATGAGGAGACGCGTGGAGGCGCGACTGTGGCTGATGGCTCGTGCATCTGTGGCTGGAGCTCTCTGTGAAGCAAACAGCCGCCGTTGCGTCCCGCCAAAAAGATTCCAGCGTCGCCAACGGTCTGTCGCATTGCCAGCTTGTTCAAGCCTCATCACCACCACAACAATAGCCATGGCCATGTTCGACTACACAAACTTCGACCAGGTCTTTGGGTCGCAGGCTTTTCCCTACGACCGCAAGTCGATCCAGGAAATCGACACGTTCAGGAAAAGCCTCGATGGCGCCCTCTTCATTGACCGGGTGCTGAAGGCCCTTGGCCTCACGAAGGGTACGTTGAATGGTGCATTCGAGCTAGATCAAGACTGACGGACTTTCGCAGCCAAGACGTATCCTCCCAAGACCGATAATGCCCTGCGCACCCTACACCAGCATCTTTGCGAGGCGAACATTTCTACCCACCACCGTCTCTCCATCTTCTACTACATCCTCCTTGACTTCGACACCAGCCAGACGAGAGCGCAAGCTTCATCGAGATTCGCAGTCGCTTCGGGCGTCCCCAAGAACTATCAGATCTTCATGAAGGGCCTGTGGCTGCTGGATCATCAGCAATTCGAGGTGCGCCTCCCGCGATTGTCCTGGGGTTCTACCGCTGACAAAAGGACAGAAAGCACTCGAGTACATTGCGCATCCGTCGCTCACGACCGACTTCGCCGACGAAATCATGACCGCGCTTGTGCGACACGCCCCTGAAGGCGACTACACTCTGCCTCTCTCATACTTCCACACTGTGCAGCCCATCCTGAAGACGTCGCAAGCGCTCGAGCTGCTGTTTAACGCGATGGCAAGAACCAGTGTTACCGAGGCATTCTATTACTCAAGGACGCACTCCGAGTCCGTCCGAAGCCAGCTCTTCCGCCAGTTAGTGTCTTCAGTCCTCAATGCCCCTCTTGGCGAAGAGACTGCCGCCAGAGCCACCGAGCTTATTGGTCTTCCCTTCGACGGAACGGAAGAGGAATGGTTCGAGGAGTTTCTCACCCAGGAGGACGGCAAGAAGCTCAAGAGAGCCAAGGATACGCTCATCATGCGCAAGATCGTCACTGGCCGTTTGAGTGAAGCTGTCCAGGACAAGAGTCTAGGCAGCGGCTGGGGCATGGTGCAAGAGGGCGTGAAGAGCGGACTGGGCGGGCGTGCAGCAGAATAATTGCGGAGCTGCTTCAAGCCGTCGATGTTGATGAAAACTGTTGAGGAACGGTACTGGTTTCGGCATAGCGTTGGCGTTTCGGCATGTTATTTCTACATTCCCCTAGACTGTAGATTTTGAACCCATAATGTGATGTGACTGGTTTTGCGGAGCGCGTTTATGAACCGAGACAAAATGTGGTTAACTGAGACCAACAGAGGACGTAATTAGGCTTTCAAACATGTTTCATAGCTACTGCCGAAAGACTTGACGATGACCTCCCTCTACCTTCAAAGGGCTCGCAGATTACCCGGAACGACGTCAGCAGCGAGGTGGCAGCGACGGGAGGAGGCTCACCTTGACTTTTACACCGACGATACACCGAAAATGACTAAGCCGCCTTGGCCCGTCGAGTCACACCCGGCGGTCCACCTCAGGGTCCTCCCACTTGCCCAAAATGAACAACTCTTAGCGCCAGCCACCCCGACCTTCTTTCACCGTCTCATCTCTACCTTCATGGCTTCCGGCGCATCGTGGTTGTGATAATGCTGGGTTTTCGCACCGTTGCTCTACAACACATGATCTCACCGGGAGTCGCTAACTAGCCAGAACCATGAATAACTCGACCAAAGGTGTCAAGTTTGTCGGTTCTGACGCTTCGGGGCTTCCTCTCAAGCGCAAGCAGGTCCAGCAAGCTTGCGAATCATGTCGCAAAAAGAAGGTGCGTAAGGCATTGCATTGCCGTGCAGCATCCGTACTTGAGTTGGACCTGACTTTGTCGGCAGAAACGCTGCATTCACGCGGAACCTGCTCAATCCGAGCCCGGTGAAGGTGCTGGCGCATCATCTCCCAGTCATGATGGGTAGGTCTTCCCAATCTGGCAGTGGGTTTGTCCCCAAGACTGACATTTCCCCAGGCCACCACCACCACCCTTAGCATCTCCTACCAAGCATCGCAATTCTACCTCGGCTGGCCCTGACGGCGGTCTTAACCTGTCGCCTTCACGGAGGGACTCTGACGCGAAAACAGATGCTCATGGCGGCCAGACGAGGTTCGTTGGGGATCTGAACCCGGAGGGCATGTTTGCAGAGGCCGCAGACTCGGCGGACTCGGCAGCTAATCCCACCCTCAAGGCCGAAGTTGGCGTCTGGCTGCCGTCTGGAACGACGACAGCCGGTCAAGCTACGAGCAGCGTCGTGTCTCGCCCGGCGGCCATGATCGACAAGGTCCTACTCCCCTACGTCAAACAGCATTGTCTCACCTGCGTGCCCCCAGAAAAGGACTTTAAGCACCTCCACAGGGTCTACCGGGAGAAGATCCACCCAATCTTCGCTCTGGTCCCCGAGGACATTGTGATAGAAGGCGACACGCCGGCGGCTATTGTCATGCGACAGGTCGTGTCTTTGGCTGCGGCATCCGACCCGGAGATGAAGAGTCACCTGCGGCTTGCCAACCAAGGCCATAAGAAGATGCCTTACCAGGATTTCCACCAGCATCTCTCTGGCTCCATCCGAACCATTCTGGAGACGAGCTTGATCACAGACCGGACCATTCACATTCGTGCCCTGTGCATGCTGTCCCTCTACATCCAGCCTTCGGGGGCCGACGAGGCCGATCTGCCTGCGCAGCTGGGTGCCAGGGCTGTGCATCACTGCCAGACTCTTGGCTTGCAGCTGTTCCACACCAGCGACGATGCCCTAGACACCCTCTTTTGCGCCGTTTGGGCCATTGACCGTATCAATGCCGCCGCGTACGGACGGCCATCTGTCATTCACGAGCGGGATATCGGACCTGGACTTGAGGACTGCTTCCGCAGACAAACCCCATGCTTCCGCCTTTTCCTCTCCGTCGTGCAGTGGTTGGATAAAGTCATTGAGCTTTACAGACCAGGTGTTATCGCATCGTCTCTAGAAACGAAACCTTTCATCGACCTCCCTGTCCTGGAGCCCATGATTCTCGATGCCGGGGCCTTGCAAGTGCCCACGCCCTTGCTCGGTTTGTCCCCTGCCCTGCCTAAACACGCTTTTGATACTGACTTATCGCAGCCACGATCGAGGTGTTTTATCACGCTGTCATCATCCTGTCATGTCGCCTGCCGAGACCTGGGCCTCCATCAAACTACGCACAAACGATCCCGCCCGCATCGGCTAACGCCCGCCGTTCCCTTGCAGCGGAGCGCATCTCTTCCGCCATCCGTCGAGATCACCTTAGCCCAGTGCCTCTTGTCCCTTATGCCCTTTCCCTCGCACTCAGTGTCGAGTACCGCAAAATGCGACATAGCGCCCTTCCAATGTTCCGCGCACGAGCCCGCAGCGCCTTCAAGTCGAATTCCGAGCTCATGAAGCGCTTTGGCGATGTATTCTGGAGTGCTAGGGTAGTAGCCGGGCTTGGAGAGCGCATTCTTCGAGAAATGGAGCGCGCTGCCACATCACTAGTACAAGGAGCCGCCGTGCCGCAGTCTTCCCATGTGGATATCTCCGCCAACGGCAGAATCGAAGCCCCCGTTTCGACAGCAGCGGTGCAGGATGCGGTTCCCCAGTTGCCCACGACGTTGGCGTCCGATTTTACCACATCAGAGACTATCGACTTTTCAGTGGTTGACGCCATGACAAACGTAGATGTCTTTGGGCACTTTGATCCAAACTTTAACCTTTCAGCAGTTGACAATGCTTTGGAGGCAAATTTGGATATCGGTTTGCCTCTAAATTGGGGAGAGTGGGACCAGTTCACCAGTTAGGAAATCAACCTTTGAACACCTGTCAAAGAACTAGGCGAGAGGGATTCTTCTTACCGCGGAGCTTTCCAACCAGAGTCGCTGCTTTCAACGCTTCAAGTATGAACTAACTGATACCCATGACATAGAATTATTGGCGGAACACTGCTTTGGAACAGGCGTAGAACCAGCTTTGAAATGGGAGTTAGGGTCGGACTATTGGATTGCAAAGGAGCCAAGTTGCTATGGACTGGCCATGCATTGCCGCATATTATGCACTCGAAGCTATATACCAGTAGCAGAAACTAGAATTGCATTGATCATTGGACATGAGCAGATTATTCGTTTATAGAACAAAAACAAAGAAACCGTCAAATCATCCTCATCAACATTTGTGAAATACAATGGCTTCTGTCCTGGTCACTGAATGAGCTTCGCGATGTATGATTCGTCGATGACAAATCAGGGTGGGTCCCGGCGGTTGGACTGCTAAAGTCTCTATCGCCACCACTACTGACGCTTCCAGTGCTCTCAGCGCGTACAGAACTTCTTCTATCTATCGTCGCGAACAGCATTTCTCAACTTCACGCTGCAAGCCCATCATGGCTCCCCCACTCAACCTCCTTATCCGCGCCCTCGTCGCCTTCGAGGACGTAATCATCAGACAGGTCCGTACACATCACTACCCCTCCTACGGGTGAACTGACCCCTCCATCACGACACCCAGCTAACTCCGCGCTCCGTACAGATCCTCCGCAGCCCAGGCTTCCACCGCGGTGTCGGCCGCATCCAACGTTTCGTAGACGAGAAGCAGAACGGACCCATGCCGCATGAGCCGTTGCGACAAGGAGAGGCGTCAGGTACGTGGGGGGTTGTTGGTGTTCCAGGGCGACAGAGGGGAAGAGGCTAACACGGGAGGATGCAGCGAACCCCGAGGATCGAGGGTTCGCACACCACTTCTTCGAGGAGCTCAAGAATCAGTTCCGCGGGACACCGACGGATCCGCCGCGGCGGGGACCGCCTGCGCCGCCGAAGCGGTGATGGTCTTTGGTGCGACGAATGAACGAATTATGAACACGCTCTGGTCGAGTCGATGAATGGAACACGATGTGCGGAGCGGCGATGACGAACCTCCTCTCTGGTTTATATACCCAACATTTCGATAATAACGAACGAAACCGCGCGGGGAACATCTTAGCAGGAACGAGGGGAAGAACTTGGGCAATCGCCTTTTCGACTGGATGACCCCACGCTTTCGTTTCTCGCGGAGAGGCGTCTTGGACACCTCTTCCATCATACCTTGCCCAGGGAAACCTCTGGTTTAGAGGAATTTGCCATCGGAACTTGGAATATTTTACCATATGGCATAGGGTCAGAGGAGGGCTTCTTGGATACGCAGGACATGGTGCGCAGTGGGTAACGGAACGACACACCGGGGCGGCCTCACTTCAGCGCCGAGACCGCCTCTGCGATGGCCAAGCCAAGATCGGCAACATCCGAGAGACTGGTCGATTTAACGGAGATCGGATGCCCCTACAGGGCCGAAAGACAAAACCTCCTTTCGCGGTGTTCGCCGGAAGCGAGACCGAATGGCTGGCTCAGGGGCACAATTGAAAAATTGAAGCCATCGCGGGTTTCGTCTGATGTTAATGGCCAGACCCCAGGCCTGACTCAAAAAAGTGGCCGAATAAACATTAATTGCACCCTGCCCTATTGCAGATTTTACGGCATGGCAGTCAAATGCGAGAATTATCAGTCAAACAAGCTTTTGCGTGAGTCCCTGAAATTTCTCCGCCCCCTCTAAACATGCGACAACGATCATGGGTCGACATGCAACCCAACTCTAATAAACCCCTCCCATCGGCCACTAGCAAACCATCCCACCTCTCCGGCCTAGGTGCAGCTGCAAGCTCGTCTTCGGGCCGCCGAACCACGACGCTGAACCGACTGAGGGGTCGTCGTGCAAGGCCCGGAGGCAGAGCCCCCAAGTTGCCTCTTTCGGAAGAACAACCTCTCTCAATCTACGTGATGCAAGCTCGCCTATCGTGATTCTTTCCTATCCGGGCCGCCTCCAAGTCGCTCTCCGTCCTCAAAAGAGAATGGTCCTCCCGCACCGTTGACAGACTACGGCCGATTCACTTGGATACTTGTCTCGATCTTTCTCAGCTGGTCTCGGCTACCTTCCGCTCATTACCCGTTTACTTCGCTTCGCTCGCTCAGCCATGTTTGCGCACGATTTTCCACCAAGCGCTGCGCTGCGCGCGTTGGTGGCTGGCCTTTTCTTGTGAGTTGCATTCCGAATAAGTCGTATTGCTCAAATGTGATCTGGCGGTTCGTTTCGTCAACAGAAGCGAGTGCTTCATGTATAACCTAGCTTGAATTCCCCGAGACTCTACGGGCTGCCGTTGTCTGCTTCATGCCACCGCGCTCGATGTTTCATCCTTCAACATGAGATTGAGTCTCACCTTCGTCGCTCTTGCGCTTCTCCACGCCGCTTCCGCTCAGCAGACGGCGTACGGCCAATGCGGCGGCAGCGGCTGGACGGGGCCGACGACCTGCGTGGCCGGCTGTACATGTCAGAAGCAAAACGAATGTAAGCCTCCCTCACTTCCCCATCGTCACTCTCACTTACATATCACAGGGTACTCGCAATGTCTCGAGGGAAAAGCCAGCACAACCACCCTCCTCACATCAACTAAGCCAACCTCATCATCAGCACTAACCACCACCGCCAGATCCTCCACCGCCACCGCCGTCCCAACGCCATGCTCCGGCACCTTCAGCGACATCGGGGCCGTGGACTACGTCAAGGCAATGAACCCGGGATGGAACCTGGGCAACACCCTCGACGCCATCCCCAACGAGGGCTCCTGGAACAACCCCCCCGTCAAGGAGGAGACCTTTGACGACATCAAGGCCGCCGGCTTCAAGAGCGTCCGCATCCCCGTCACCTACAGCGACCACTTCACCAGCGCCGCACCAAACTACACCATCGACCCGGCCTGGCTCCAGCGCGTCTCGGACGTCGTCGACATGGCCACCGCCCGCGGCCTCTACGTCCTCACCAACGTCCACCACGACTCCTGGAACTGGGCCGACGTCACAAAGGCCACGACCAACGAGACCCGCGCCGCCCTCGACGCAAAGTTCTACGCCACCTGGCTGCAGATCGGCCAGAAGCTCGCTTGCAAGTCCAACCTTGTGTCCCTCGAGCCCATCAACGAGCCCCCCGCCACCACCGCCGAGCACGGCGCCCACCTCAACGCCCTCAACGACCTCTTCCTCAAGGCCCTCGCCGACAGCGGCGGCTTCAACACCCGGCGCGTTGTCACCCTCATGGGCGGCAGCATGGACGGCTACAAGACCACGCAGTGGTTCAAGGCCCCCGCCACCATCAAGAACCCCTGGGCCCTGCAGTACCACTACTACTCCCCCTACGACTTTGTCTTCTCCGCGTGGGGCAAGACCATCTGGGGTAGCGACGCCGACAAGGCGTCCATGAAGAACGATCTTGCCGTCGTCCGCGGGAACTTTACTGATGTGCCCCTCGTCATCGGCGAGTTCGACGCCAGCCCGCTCAACACGGAGCCTGCCGCCCGGTGGAAGTGGACGGACCACTTCGTCCGCACCGCGGCGGAGCTCAACACGGCGCTTATCATCTGGGACAACGGGCTCGACCACCTCGACCGCAACGCGCACTCCTGGCGCGACCCGACCTCGCTGGCCATCGTGAAGAACGCCGTACAGCCGCCGCGTCATTCGCTGCCGGAGAGCACCACCGACGCGGGCGCCAGCACGCAGAACTCCTCTGCCTTTGTATGGAACAAGGTCGGCGACACACCCAAGGACACCGTCCTGCCGTGGCAGTTCAATGGAAACACGCTCAAGAGCGTCAAGACAAACTCCGGGGCCGTGCTCGCCGCCGACACGGACTATTCTGCGTCAGACTCCGCCATCACCCTCAAGGCGGGCGTTCTCGGGCAGTGGCTCACGCCGACAGCGGCGCCGGGGAGCAAGGCGAACCTGACGCTGGAGTTCTCCGCCGGCGCGCCGGTGCAGGTCGAGGTGGTGCAGTGGGACGTGCCGACGCTGGCCGTGAGCGAAAGCAAGGCCGTCGGCGGGAAGGACCTGAATATCACGGTCGAGTACAAGGGGCTGAGGATGCCTGCTGCCGTGAAGGCGTTGAAGAGCGACGAGGGATTTCTGTTTGATGAGTGGACTAGCGTGCTGGGGCCGCTGCAGGCTGCTCACATTGTAGGTTCAAACACGCGGACGTGATGGGGATGATTTGCTGACCTTCTTGACAGACTTACAGCGGCCAGTGGAGCTACGACGGCGCCAAGATCGTGCTGCCGAACGCGACTGTCCAGGCTGTCATCAGCGGCGGGAAGCCGACGGTGTTTACGTTTGAGTTCTACCCGAGAGTGCCGGGGAACAATGTCACGTACACTCTGACGCCGTGAGCTGAGCTGGGCAGTTTGTGTGCATGGTGTGTCTAGACTGGACACCGGGGTTTGGATCTTGTCTTGGTGTAAATACTTTTCCGCCGATATAGTAACTATAGGAAACGTTCTTTGAAAGCAGGTACATGTTTGGTTAACTAGCCAATCGATGGTGAGCCGGGCGTTAACTGGCCGCCTCCGAAACCCGGCCCCGCCCCCGCGCGGGGTTTCGCGGATGATACTCCGAACACATTCGGATCTGCCAACAATAGCCGTGCTACATAACGCTCCTTCAAACCAGCGATGGATATCTTTTGTGATCGCTTATTTCCACTTATTCATCATCACCAGAATACACAAACAAGAACCCATATCCTGCGGGAACTAATCCCGTCTGCTTCGGCCCTCGGTTCAAATCAGCCCGAGAGCCACCTATCATCTCATCTCACTCCATAAAACCAAACCTCATCCTCCCCGTCTCACAAACCTCATATCACCATTCACACCGCCACACCAGCAACCATGCTCTCCGAATCATTCTTCGGCGCAGACGCCGCCCGGCCCCTCTGGGACTCTGACCCCCTCGCCGACGCCTTCACCCTCAAAGACGCCGCCGCCCCCCTCGACACCGCCGCCGTCGCCTCCGTTGCCCGTCCCTGGCTCTTCACCTACAACCCCACCGTCTTCCCCAACAACCGCGCCGTCCTCATCCTCGGCGGCGGCGGCTACGTCGAGCTCATGCTCGGCCGCGAGGGCGTCCAGGTCGCCCGCTGGCTCGCCTCCCTCGGCTTCGCCGCCCACGTCCTCGTCCACCGCTTCCCAACGTCTGCCACCTCCCCCTCCGCGCCCCTCGACGACGCGCGCCAGGCCCTCCGCCTCATCAAAGAGACTTCCGTCTCCCCGGACGGTGTGGTCCCATCGCTGGCGGTGTGCGGGCTCTCCTCCGGCGGCCACCTCGCCGCCGCCCTGCTGTCCGAATACCCGCCCCAATGGTCCGCAACAGCAGGCCACCCTGTCCCGGAGCTCGAATTCGCTATTATAGGTTACGCACCCATCTCTACCAACGCAAAGGGCCACCAGGTCGTGCCGAACAAGGCGCCGCTGCCGCCGGCGGAGAAGCAGGCGCTGTACGACGCCGTCATCCCCGACGCGCAGCTGCGTGCGCCCGCGCCGCCAAGCTTTGTCGTGTATGCGGGCAACGACCCCGTGGTGCCGGTGGTGAACGCGTACCGGATCGCGCAGGCGGTGCAGGCGGCGGGCGGGCAGGTGGAGCTGCATGTGTACGGCGATGCGCCGCATGGGTTTGCGCTGGATACGGAGGGGCTGCCGGTGAGTGGGTGGACGGGGGTTTGTGAGCAGTGGTTGAGGCAGAGGGGGATCGTGGGGGGAGGGTGTTGGGGGGTGTGACGGATGAAATGTGACATCTTAGCTGGTTGCATGTGAAGACGACGGGCAAGTTCATGAGGTCTGGCGAGGTTCTCCCCCGGACCCCGTATTAATGAGCGTATCCCTATTGTTACACTGTTATACAATCGCACATCTGTTCTCGTGCGTGTTCTCTTCCAGGACTGTCGATATGATCTAGCCTCACCGGAAGGCGGCGTCAGACCACGCGTTCCAATGCTCAAAGTTCAAAAAGTTCCACACGACATTCGGGTCCACGAGGTTGGCGTCAAAATCACCCGGTATCAGATTATCCCCAAGCTCGTCCCCGCCTCGGTGTATATCCAGTCCCTCCGTCATGAACATCGGCGAGGTCGTCTGCTGCATCGCCTGCTGCGTCTCGTCCTGTATCTTGATCGCCACCGCCGCCGGGTCCGTCTGCAGCGCAACGTGCTCGTTGGTCTGTCGTTGATTCGGTTGGTTGCCGCCACCGCTTCCACCCGCTGCTGTTGCCGCCGTCTTGGGCGCCGCCGCGACGTGGAGAAGCTCCGTCACGATCTCGGCGCACCGCCGCGCGACGGCGAGCATCTTCATCGCCTTGAAGATCTCGATGCTCATTTCGAGGTTCTCGATGACCTCCTCGTTGGAGAAGGGGGAGGAGATGTTGGAAATGAGGACGTGGAGGAGGACCATGCAGGCGTCGAGGAGGTACATGCAGTTGTACCACCTGTGCACAGTAAAATATCAGTACTGACAGAATTGAGGAGAGATCAGGGGGGTGCGTACCATGTTCTAAAGTATGGGCGGTGCAGGTAGCTCGTGTGCATGAACCGGATCGTCTCCGTCGCAGCCTTTACACATGAAGACACGTGCCGGGAGAGAGTCTTGCGGTCCGACTCTGGCGTCTTGAGGATCAGGAACTGGCGGTGGAGGAGAATTCTAGCATTCAGGAAGCCTGTGATGCGGGTTCGGTCAGTTGGTCATCTTGAGTGAGACATCCCAAGAGGGGAGTGACGTACGGAGCTTGAGGACTGTTTTCTGTTTCATGGCAAACTCGCTGTCTTCCAGTGACGAAGTGTCAAACCTCAGTTCCCGCGGGAGCCCGGACTTCCAGTCGTCAAGCTCCCGGTCCAGATTCAATGCCGTTTGCGACAGCCGCTGTAATGAGGTGTGGCTGTTGTGAAGGCTTAGGTTGTCCGTCATCCACATGAGGATCTTGGCGAGGTCGACCATGGGGTTGATGAGGCATGATGAAGAGCTGACGAAGCCCTGGTAGCTGTTAGTGATAATACTCAGTCCGAATTGGATGTCACACATACTGCTGTTCTTGGAAAGGGGATGGAATATGAGCTCGGTCCTCGTAGTCCTGATTGGCGTCCGGCGGAGAAGCACATTTCGCTAGCTGGTTAGCACCTCATCACATGTGTGAATTGCCTCAACATACATCTCATGTGAGTACAGTGACCTGTTGAACGTCAGAAAATTGCCACGAGCGTTGAGAAGCGCGAGTGAGGGTCTTACCACCAGAGCAAACTTTCCTGGCTGGTCTCGGAGCGGATGTTGGTAGGAATACCCATGGCCGACGCGGTACGGATGGCCATGCCGCTGTACATGTAGCAGCTGTGCGGCTTGAGCGCATTCTGACAGAAAACGGACTGGGATGGCGTCAGCTCAGCTCAGCTCCCCCGCAGGTTCCTGGGCCGTAGTCAGTGAGGGGGTAAACATGATGCTCTCACCATGAGAAACAGCGTCTGCGCCGTCTCAAGCGAGCTCGACTCGCAGATATCCTCCAAATAAAGCTTCGCCCGCTCAAAGTACCGCCTCGCGAGCCTAATAGGCGGATACGTCGTCTCGTTCTCCCCCGGTAGCTCGGTCCTGTCCAGAAACTGCAGCGTGTGATCCTCCATCAGCAACGACGTCTCCCCGGCTGTAATCGCCCCGATCGCAATCACAGAATTGAAAAGCGACAGGAAGCGCGCCCCGCGGCGCTGCTGCGACGGCTCCTCGAGCGCCGTCTTGCGCTGCCACACCTCCTCGTCGCACCGCTTCACGAACGCCGTCTGTTCCAGGATCGGGTGGATGTTGTGCAGGTTCTGGAAGTACAGCCGCACGCATTCCCGCTCCACCTCCGTCGCGAAAACCGCGTCCGCCGGGGTCAGCACCTTGCCATTGCCATATTGCACCGAGTCGCGCCGCGTCGCCGCGCTGGCGGACGGCGTGCCCTTCCCTGGCGTCTGGCCGTGGCGGTTATCCGGCGACGTGGAGTAGTCCGAGCTGTGGAGGAGGTTGACGACGGATGTCTGGTTCAGCGTCTTGCCACCGGGCGACGTCTTGGAGTCGGGCTGCTGCGGCTGCTTTTGAGTACCACTGTTATTCGCCCTGGACCGTAAACGCGCCAGGAAGTAGAACGTCCCCGTCGGGCCGTAGAACTCTGCGCCCTCGGTGTGGTCGTTCACCTGGCCCAGGCCGTCGACCTCCTGCTCCGACGAGACGACCGAGGACCCGCGGTCGCGCTCCATCGGCGGCTCCGACATGAAGGGCGGGTGCGGGTTCGCCGCGGTGACGGGGTTCTCAACCTTCAGCGGCTCATCCAGGCTCACAGGCGACGGGTGAAGCTGCTCCGCGGGTATCGGCTGGCTCTGCGGACGCTGCTGGATGCGGCCCGTCGGGTCGAACATCCTCTTACTGGGGCCATGGTCAGACTCAGACACAACTGGTACGGGGTGAATCCACTTGAGTGTTGGTGACGTACACTTCCTCCGGCTTGTCTTTGTACGAGCATGAGAACTCATGGCCTATATCAGAACATCGGGTCAGCACTTAGACATGTAACTGAGCAACCGATGAAATCAAGTCGAACAATTGTTCTGCCCAGCTACTCACGGACGCAGTTTGAACACGGCGAGCTCCCGTCGCACTAATCGCCGAAAAGGATCAGCAACATGATCTCGTGTGTTCCCATCATCGCCGACGACGAGACAGAACTACTAGCCTTGACTTTGCGCGCGCGACAAGTCCCACACGCCACCGGCGCACGCGGCCGACGTTTCCTCTTGAGAGTGCCCGACTCCGAGTTATCCGAGGTACCAGCGGGCAGGGTGGGGATATCCGCATCCATATCTCGGCCGGCGTTGCTTTCTATGGCGATTTAAGGTCGTATAATTACGGGGGAAGTTATTGGGTGCAGATAATGTTCGACGATACGTTTGGTTGGCGAGAGGAAGTGTACGAGCAGAGTCACTGCTGCTGGGCTAGTGTGGGAGGCGGTGGGGAGGGAGGTTTCGAACCATGCTGGATTCACTCGACCCATGCGCTCGCTGTCTGCGCTCTAATTACTGCTTCACTGCTTCACTGCTACATCGGGAATTGCACTGACATGACTGACGGCAGCGCGCGTGGCGGTCAACGGCCGGCGTAGCGGCCCCCGGGTGGCGCGGTCGCATCCATGGAACTGCGTGTTCGTGTTTCCTCCTGTGCTGGGGCCGTTTCTTCAGCATGCAGGCTAAAAAGGGCCTAACATCAAAGTCTCAGAAGCAACGTGAGACGTGCCTCTGTCAAGCAGAGTTCTGACTTAGATCCAATCGATGCACTAGCGACGTCGCCGCTTTGACGTTGCCTCTGAATGACTCGACGAATCGGAAGCATCTCTTCGGCTTCAACAGGGCCTGGCCAATGGGATGTTGGACGTCGGGGAGCCGACGGGCTCGGCATCGTCTCCCTCATGTACTTGATCTCGGGCTGCATCCCCGTCCATGGGAGCGAAATAATTGCAGAGGACAGGAAACGTTTCCCGCTAGACACACAATTTGCCAGATGGCGGTCTTCTGGAATTTGCATTCTGTCCATTAAACGATTCCTGATTATTCTCTTCCTCCCAACTTATGTCATAAGAAAAAAACACAGTCCCCAAGAGACATTCCAAAAATGGAAGATGCTTCAGTCAATGTACCTGTTCTCGTGGTAGGCGGAGGGCCTACGGGTCTGTTCACAGCATACATGCTCTCCAAGCACGGCGGTTGGTCGGCCTGATGTTGGCGCTGGGGAGAGTTGCGATGAGCTAACCCGTCTTTTATTGTTTTTCCAGTCAAATCGCTCCTCATCGAAAAGTATCCCCAACGGCTGGCGGCGCCCAAGGCACACGCATTATGTCCTCGAACGCTGGAATTTTGCAGGCAATATGGCCTCGACACGAATGCGCTGCGGAAGCTCGGGAGTCCCCGAGACGATGCGTACTGGGTTAATTTCTTGACGAACCTGAGCGGCGACAGGATTGGGTATTTGCCCTATGAGAGGATGGATGTCGAAGTCTTGGAAAGCACGCCTGAAGTGAGTTCGCCGTTGTCGATTTTCATGACTAAATGATGGATACTCATGTGATGTTTTGCTACAGATGATTCACAATGTGCCTCAGCCAGATTTTGAGAGATTTGTCGCTGAGAAGCTCGCATTTGACACGAATGTAGAGCTGAGAAAAGGCATTGCTTTTGTGTGCTGTGAGCAGGTAAGGTTGTCGTTCTTATGCCCTGTAATTGATTTTTACTGGGCACATGAGAACTAACCATGGCTCTAGCGTGGCGATAGAGTGATAACTACCGTTGAAGAGCGGGCGACGAAACAGCGTTGGACCATTGCCTCCAATTATGTGATTGGCTGCGATGGCGCTAAGAGTGAAGTGCGAAAGTCTCTCAACATCGAGACTGAAGGCGAAGACGGATGTAAGTATCGTCTCACTCATGTTAAAGTGAAGGATGCTAACAGCCGGTCTTTGGAAGACGAGACAATGATGACAATTCATTTCAACGCAGACCTGCGGCCCATCGTGAAGGAAAGAGTGGGCATGCTGCACTGGATAGTTGACCCGGCATGTTCTGGTTTTATCATCGCGTATGATCTCGGCGGTAATCAGGTACTGATCAGCAATTTTGACGTGAGGCATCAAGGAACCATGAACTGCAAGTGCGCAACTAACGGGACGCAGTCAAATAAACATCCCGCCGAGGCGTGGAGCGAAGAGCTTACGCGCGCAACCGTAACGGCTGCAATAGGAAAGGACATACCTTTTAAAATACTCAGCTACAGACCTTGGGTACTAAGTCGGAAAGTGGCCAAAGAGTACAGACGCGGCAACACCTTTCTGTAAGTCGCGGTTGTCTTTTGTTCACAGTGAGATGTAGGCATGCTCACTCTGAACAGACTCGGCGATGCGGCGCACTCCTTCCCCCCAACAGGCGGTCTCGGGCTCAACTCAGGCCTAGCCGATGCGCACAACCTGGTCTACAAGATCGCCGCTGTGCATCAGGGGTGGGCGAAGCCGTCCATCCTCGACACGTATGAGGCCGACCGACGCCAGATAGCGCTGGTTGCCTCTTCGCAAAGCGTCAAGAACGGGAAAACCATCTTTTCGTTTTTGAAAGCCGTGGGTACCGCCGGTATCGAAGACGTGGACGAGGCAAGGGCGAACATGTATAAGACGATACACGACCCCGCGAAAGAGGACTTGATAGCGCAGAATGTGGAAGGGCAGCGGGAGCACTTTGATAACGTGAGTCTCATCTTAGAGTACGCATTCCTATGAATCATAGTACTGACCCCGATATTTTACAGCTTGAAATACACATTGGATACGTCTATGGCGATAAAGAACCGCCTGCAAACGCTTCACATTACACACCAAAGTTCAAAGTCGGGGCTCGGCTGCCTCACGCCTGGATCAAACTCCTCAAACCAAACAATCGCATCCCCGATTACCCAATCGACACTTCATACGTCAAAGAACTCACAAAAGAACAAATATCATCTAGAAAATTCTCAACTCTCGACCTCGTAAGTCCGGGAGCCTTTAGCCTCATAGTGGAGTCCCGCTCCTTATGGGCGCAGCGCTTCAAGAACTTTGAAGAAGCGATGGCTAGCAAAATAGGCCCCCGCGTCCACCTTTGGGTCGAGGGCTCGGATTTCGAATTTACAAATGAGGCACATCGCAAGTTGTTTCATAAACAGGGGCGTCTGGCCCAGGGAGCAGCGCTCCTGGTGAGGCCGGACCAGCATATACTGGGCTGCCTGGGCCCTGAAGCCTCGGCGCAGGATATGATTTTGATAGTCCAGGGACATTTGGGTCTTGAAAGAGCCCAGTTATAGACAGCCAGCGTGGATTCATAATACAAAGCATGCGTCGTTATTCATCGATGAACTTGACGCTACGAGTTAATTGATCTCAAAATCCGGTGAATCAATCATCAGCTGAGTCTTATGCCCTCTTCTTTGTGTATCATGTACCATCCATCAATACCTGAAGGTTCAACGTTGCAACCGCAAGATCACTCCAGTAGACGGTTGTTTTCGTGAAATATCTCATATCTCTCAGCTCCTGCGTGCGGCTGACCCAGGCCGACTGCTCATGCGAAGCGAACCCAACCAGAATGTAGCCGGTGTCTTGCACCGACTTTCTCGGGGTGTTCTATCAGCTGCGCCGCCACGAAAAACAGCCACATGTGCCGTAGCTCCTGTGCCAGCCCCGTTGACGACTTTGTCTCCGAGACTAAGTATGCATCACTTCGGGGCTCGCCGCACCTGGTCTACCACTGCACCCAAGAGTTCCAATAATAGAACTGTCTGAAGAGAATTAACCATAGACAGGTCTCCGCGTGGTGGCTGCGTAATTCCGATGCCCTCAGAATTATACGTCGATGAGGATTCGAGGAAGTTACACTGACTTTACAAGTTATTTACATCACCACCGGGTTGGAAACCCTCAAGGGGGCATACAAAATGAGTTTGATTCCTTGTCTTCGTTCTGTACTCAAATCATCATTCCAATCAACGCAATCAAGTCCCAGTCATCACTCTTCCCATCAAGTCATCCACTTCTAAACTCGATTATCGTATTCCAATTGGCTCTCAGCCTACATTTCAATACACCTCCAAAATACTTAACATGAAGTCTTTTACTTTCGCCGCCATCTTCCTTCCCGCCATTACCCTAGCCCTTCCCAAGCTTGAGACCGTCAAAGGCTTCACCAATGGAACAAGCAACCTCACCCCGCCAACCCACCGACACCGGTGCCGTCTGCACCCCCACCAAATACCAGTGCCGCCAAAATCCAGATAGCACCTGGGGCTGGGACGTCTGCAACACCTCCAAATGGGTGAACGGCGGCAACTGCACGCCAACAGAAACCTGCGTCTTCAACTCCCTCAACGGGTCTCCCTACTGCGTGCCCAACCCGCCCAAGAACTCCGCCAAGGAGACCGGGAAACAGTGCTTCCCCGGGAAGTACCAGTGCAAGTACGACGACTCCAAGGGCTGGAGCATCGAAACGTGCAACAGTGCTGGCAGCTGGGGCCATACCCTCGACTGCGCGGCCACTGAGACGTGCACTTGTAGCCCGGTAGCTGGGTATCCTTACTGCACTCCCAAGGCGGATAGTCGTGTTTGCGCTCCTGGGACGTATCAATGCAGCCATGTTCAGAGGTGGGGCTGGGATGTTTGCTCGACTGAGGGCAAGTGGGTGAGGGGTGGATCTTGTGAGACTGGGAAGACGTGCTCTTTCAACGCCCTGAACGGTTCTCCTTACTGCGTCTAGAGTTGGTATACGCTTAGTGTGTGTGGAAGATCATGTCGACGTTTCAACTCTTGCTTTTGCACTTTGATTCGAACGTTGGAATATGCGCAATGGACACGTTGAGTGAGGAGTTGGATTGAACATGAACCGAATGAAAATCTATAAAATTGACAGAAAATGAAATTGAAAGACTAACTATCTCTGGCAGCGTGTAAAAGCTCCATGTTTGTATTCAATTCTTTCATTTTCACCAAGAACTCCCGAGTGCCCTGAATACCTTGTGATTGCCTCCAACATGACCGCCTAAGATGCGCCTCAACGACCTTGTCGTGACTTTCTTTCGCGCTGTACCTCTTATAGGGGCAAATAAGTCTGCCATATTCTCTGTAACGCATTTCGAAGACACTGAACTATACATGCACGACTACCAGAACTTTCAACTTCAAAGACAGGCGGTTGAAGGACCTCTCCAACTCCGAGATAAAGTTGAATCCCTGAGATGACTGTATAGCCATACTGATAGTCTCCAAGTCGAGGATAAGGTACACTTGCTGCGCCTTGATGCCTTACATAGCTTGACAAAGGAGACCAAGCCACTATTCGGAGGTGGATGCCCTTTGAAACCGAGAGCATCTCCGACTCATGTCTTTCTCGGTATGGCTATCCTGACTGAGATCAATAACTTGAACTGTGAGATATTTCAATGATTCCGATGTCGGGCATCAAGATGCGCTGCGTTCCGTTTGCATACCTTTCAAAGCCCACAAAAACTGGTATGCTCGATTCGCGAGGCTGCGGGATTACACCCGCGCAAAAGTCCTGTACAATGTTTTGCGAAAGGAAGGAACCTTTGACAGCTATCAAGGCTGATCGTTGTATCGATGACCACTTCTCCAATTTTGGAGACAGAATTTGGAAGAGCTGGAAATACAATAGCCTGTCGTTCTTGTTAATCAGCGCGGGAGAGTGAATTGCCTGGAACGTTGTGGAGCTGTAAACGAATGGACTTTGAATAAAAATCAGCTAATGCGGGCTTTTCAAACGACACTTGACACCAAACTGCCCGCGAGCTTATCATCGCGAAAACTCATTTGTCACAGTGTGTTTCCAGGAGAATGCCTCCAGTGTGGCATCATGCTACTCAATAGAAAATGCACGCCAGTATGAAAAGGGGGCCATGGGTTTCAATCCCCAACTGTGATGGCGTCTTTCTGGCAAGCCTTTTGGCAGATTTTATAAAGATGGGATTCGAATATATCTTTTATTAGGATGTTAATGACCAAGGTACTGGAAGTCCCGTTTGGTCGTGTTTGAAGAGGTATCTGCGTCCCACAGAGCCGAGATATTTGCTGCGATGAGTGCGTTCATATCATGGATAATCGGCTTCGCAGGTGGCTGCCATCCCAGACTGAGAGGAAGTCTCTCATTCTCAACCCAGTAGCGCACAAGCGTCTTGTTCGCATCACCATAATCTCCAAAGGCCGATAACAGTAGCGCGTACTGCAGAAGCGAACCGCTTCTCGCAAACGTGGCGTTGAACTCGGGGTTGAACTTCTCTCCCCACTCAAATCGAGCCTTGATTTCCCGGGCAGCAGCGGCGAACTGTTATGAATCGTTAGCTGAAGCTCCTATGAGAGCTTTACAAACAGATGTTACGAACATCGATAATGTCAACGTCACCCCATCCAGCCAACGTGCGTCCCCAAGCAGCAGGGCTGAAGTGAAGAGAGTCTCCAAAGTAGGCGTCGTCGCGCGTCAGGCTACCGTCGTGCTCGATGACTTGAGGCATGTGTTGGTTGACGTCGCTGAGGTGAAAGGTTGACGCATTCCCCGTAGTCGAAGTCTTCAAAGCAGGAATACCAACAAGAAGCATCGTCTCGTGGTCCATATTAAATCCGAGTGCAGTGGCCGCTCCGAGCACATCCAGGTCGATATCGCGACCATCTCGAGGTAAGAGTCCGTGGTTGGCCAGGGCGTTGATTCCAGGGCAAGGTGATCGCAAGTCGCCCGGTTGAGGAGGCTGCCAAGGATACAGCTCCTCGGTCAAGGTGGCCAAGACACCGACCGAAGCCATGCAGGCTTGAAGGAACATCAACCGAGACCCCAGCATATTGAAGAAAAATGAGCGACAGTGATTAGACTACAAGTAAACTTTCACGCTGGGACTTGTCCCTTCATGTAGTATTTGTACCTAAATCTCTAGCTAAGCCTGCCGGGGTCGGAAGTACCGTTGCACATAAGATCATATCGACGATTTGCCGGTGGGAGAGTTTTCCAGCTGATTAACATCAATTAATGTCAATGTTATTGGGTCAAGATGGCGGCGAATACGGGACAGGGGCAAGACTGGCAAATGAAAATGTCGCCATTACTAGACCATTGCAAGTAATGGCTCCGGCTGATGACATGCATCCTAGGTGCCGGGAGCGGCCGCTACTCGGACCGGTGTAGGTGTGATTACACCATTTAACAAGATTTCAGGCATACGAGTTACGGCTTTGAGATGTTGCGTCAACAGGGTTGCATCTGGATGCCAAAAAGGGGAAACGTTTCCTTCTACCGGCGCATAGGCGGATCGCCTTGCGCGCGGCAGTGATCTCCTGCCTAACTGAGTCAGGGCGGTGGGGTTCTTTACAGGGCGGTCAACCATGTCACCCTGTCTTTCTCCCACGATCCCGGCATTCGGGCTGGGAATCCCCGAGTTTGTCTTACGATTAGGCTGACATGGACAAATGGTCATGGTTCAGGAGTTCTTTGTAATTGACGGATGTAGATGTTGGCTTCTAGCATTAGTTACAACAGCATGTGATGTTTCTCCAACAGTCCTGGAGAGCGCCGCTGGATGACGATGGGTCCATTTCTCGGAAATAAACAAAAGGTCCGGTTTGGAGGAATTCATGAATGGGAAGTTTCGCCTATTTTCATGTAATTCTAGAGACGTTATCAGGTCGTCCTCTTTTGGAATTCATATTGATCGCAGAATAGGTAGGATCTGTAAGGTGGCAAACTTCATCCGGTTTATCTGTGCTACTACAACTAGGCTACATAGCTACCGTCGTATTGTCAAGTACTTGGATCCACGTGAAGACCGAACGTCTCGAGACTTGCTCAGCATCTGGCCCAACGAACGATGACGTTCCAATTGTCCTTGTGGAAAGCCTGGCCAGCGACTCTGGTGCTCTCGCCAACTCGGCACTTCTTGATGACATAGAGTGCGCCGTCGGAGATCTCACGGAAGGAGTTGAGTTCTTTGACCTTGGTTTCCTTCAGCTACTTGTCAGCTGTGTCGCTTGGCAAAAGATTGAAGTCCAGGTAACTTACATCGTTGCACCACCAAATTGCTGAGTTATAGCTGCAAGATACACGTCCGCTTTGTGGGCTGTCAACAATTTCGTACAAGATTGGCCAGTGTGGCTAGAAGCTTACCAGCTGGCAGGGCCGGCACCTCTGTGAGGCTTTCCATCGACACCATCAAGGTGGGAGATTCCCTCGCGAATGCGGGCGGTGTTCGCAAGCTCCCAGCCGTCACATACGGTTGGGGCTCCCTCAAAGTCAGCCTTGGGGCCCACCATACCGGCCAGCCCAGACTCGGTGTTGTTCTTGATGCCAAAGTCCTCGTCGTAGTTGGGGTTGATCTTGCGAAGCTCGTCCAAGACCTGCTCTACGGTCCCGCTAATGATTTGAGTCTCTCCTCCGGGGAATGCCTGGACCTCCCACTCAGGAACGTAGACACTGTAGCCTGTGATCGGAGCTTGAGAGGCGGTGCTGCCGATGGTGGCAGCCTGCAGTTAAAATTTAGTGGCCACTCAGATTGATCTCTAGAATGAAATGATATTCTCACCTTGGCCGCAAGAGCGGCAAGGGGAAGAAGAGCGATAGCCTTGAGAAGCATTGTGAAGAGTAGAATCGAAATGGTCTGTGGGTGTGATGTGAGCAATCTTCGTAGTCTGTGTGGAAAGAAGAAAAGAAGCCGCAGATCATTTCTAGAAAATAAATACCCCTTGCGGTGAACCTCGTGAGTCAATATTGTTGACTTGTGGTGACTTGTGGCATCCATTCACCAGGCACGTTCTTGGGGTTGTGGTGATTCACTCTATCCCAAATATACAGTGTTAACAGGAAAAACCAATTCTTCAGGCCTCGGCATTAGTTCATCTGATCGCTGGTGCTTTAATCGAAGAGTTGAATGACAAGAACCACACATCGGGCTAGTGATTCAATATCGAACGTGTTTTACTGCCAACATATTCCGTGCCAACGTTCGTAACGTGACATTAGCCGACTGAACTCAAGCCTCAAACATTGGCACTAAGCTGTTCTTTATTTCTCTTGACAGACACCAAGAATATGTCTGTATCACGTTGCATAACTGAATACTTGAAGATATGGCGGTAAACTTCTTCAACCCAAGCTCAAGTGATAAGTTATGATGCAGTCCACGTATACGGTGCTCTACCTTCCAGACCAACGAGAGGGTCCGCTTCTTTCTTCCCTTCTAACTTTTCTTCTTCGCAGTTTGCCGCCTGGAGGCGTACCTTGTTAACTGCTATATAACTCTGATAGGGAAATATGTGGAGGGAGTATAACCTCTATAACTAACCTATAGGGTATATAAAGGGGATTTTTAAGTTACTTAGCTAAGTTAGTAGAAGTAACCCCCTATTATACTATAATTTAAATTTAAAATTTTCTAAGATAAATCTTATATATACCCCCTATTTAATTAATATAACCCTTACTACTAGTAATATTAAATATCTAAAAAAAACTAATTTACTATATATTTAATAATAACTTAGTTATATTTTTATAACTAAGAATAATAATATAGTATCTCTATATCTCTTTATAATATATATTAAGTTCTTAGAAGATCTTTAAAATTAAGTCCTCTATTAAATTAAATAGAGATTTAAAAAGATTACTAAAAACCTAAAGAATAAGAATAATATAAGGGAGATTAATAGGATATTTAATAAGAAATATAGTAAATAGTTCTAAAAACTAATTACTATTATTACCCTTATCTAAGTTATAATATAGTAATTAAAGAGATTAGCCTAGGTTAGAGTAGAGGAAAAAAAGGGTCCTTATATTCCCTTTAGTTATATAAGTATTCACAAAAGAATTATTCACAAAATAGAGGGTCCGCTTCTTTCGCACCCTGTACAGGAATCTCTTGACTCCAAAGGCTTCGGCATTGTTCCTCCTCATCAAGTCCAGGCGAATACCAGGGACAAGTGCAATCAATCCATCACCTCGTCACTTATCACTGAGCAATGTTGTCACGTAGACGCAATCACCAAAATTGCACCAGACAGGCAAATATCTTACCTCGCAGCTGTAGCTCTTGCTCGCTTCGGACGTGCATCGGCGATGGCGGGGGCGGGGCCGGCGGGCGTAAATGGGGCCGCTAACGACTTCCCGATTCTACATGCCGGGGGTGTTTCGGGGAATTCGGTGGTTGGACGGACGTCTCAAGTCGCGACCATAGCGAGAAATAGTTGATCGTATTACCCCGCAACAGCCTTCAGATCAACTACTCCATACCTCATGGGGAACAACCTACCTCGGATAGTCCGGGTAATCCTTCTGCGATCGGCCAGTAAGGATATGCCTATTGGGAATTCGGGCCCTCGGGACACCGGACAGCCACATTTAAAGAAGACTTTGCTTGTTTAATTCTCGAACGATTTTGTCATTTCTAAAGCTTTGACGGCTGTGTCATTTATCAAACCAAGCTCAACATGAATGACATCGCTGACCAAACGAGCTCGTTCTCGCTACTGGCGGCTCTCAAATTTGCACCAGCCATCTTCCTTGCTTTGTGGGTTGTCTATCAACGTTACTTCTCAGCATTTGCTGGCATACCGGGGCCATACTGGGCCAGCCTCTCGCGAGGATGGCTTGCGTACCACTCATACAAAGGAGACCTCCATGTGATCATGATGCGCCTCCATGAAATCCACGGCAAGGTCGTTCGGATTGCCCCTAGTGAAGTGTAAGTGAACAAGAGCCTTACGCTTGCCCAAGACAGGCCGCTGATGTGCATCCCGTGTAGGAGTATCTCGGATCTCACGTCAATCAAGACAATTTACGGTAAGTCGTTCCCGGCGGTGTGCTTTGACGCTAACCGGCTCAGGTGCTGGGTCGAAATTTCGAAAGTCCGACTGGTACAGTGTCTGGCAAGGACGACGAAAATTTGACCTGTTTCCTGAACGCGATGATGCAATCCATGCTGCCCAAAGACGACTGGTCAGCAGACCATATGCTATGTCCACTTTGAAGGAGTTGGAGCCATATGTGGACAGCGCCATCCATGTTTTATTCGATAAGCTTAACGAGATGGTGGGACAAACTGTGGATATGGGCAATTGGGTCCAGCTCTATGCCTTTGGTAAGCGCAAAGCCAAGAACCTGCTTGAACAAACCTAGCGGTTGTCCCTGTGACTTTTGGCTGACATATTCTAGACGTAATTGGCGAGGTTACATTCTCCAAGCGTTTCGGCTTCATGGACGTTGGGTCAGATGACGGATCTTTCAAGCAGATTGAAAATGCCTTGCAGTCGGCTGCTTGGATTGGTCAAGTCCCTTGGCTCTACTGGCTTCATGATTACTTATCCCCAGTTATCGGTACATGGCTTGGTATCGCCTCTCGACACGGTAGCTTGAGGAAGTTCGCAGCACGCGAGGTGGCTGCTAGGCAGGACCGTGGATCCGACCACCAGGACATCCTTGGAAAGCTCCTCGCTGTGCACCATGACAAACCTGACCAATTTGACAACTCGGATCTGGTCTCAATGGCGACATCGAACATCTTCGCCGGCAGCGATACGACAGCCATTTCCATCCGCGCGATCATCTACTATATGCTGAAGTATCCCGAGGCCAAGAGAAAGCTCATTGAAGAAGTCGATACTCTTTGGCAACAAGGAAAGCTCAGTGACCCTGTTACCGTCGCTGAGTCTGAGAAAATGCCGTATCTCCAAGCTGCCATGTACGAGGCATTGAGGTTGCATCCGGCTGTTGGCATGACCCTGCCGCGTGTTGTTCCCAAAGGTGGATATGAGATTGATGGACGTTTCATGCCGGCTGGGGTAAGTTCTTTGTCAGCCTTAAGTTTATTTGAGAGATGTTTGCTGACCATGATCGTGTAGTCCGTTGTAGGGGTTAACCCGTGGGTGGTCCATCGCAACACAACAGTCTATGGCCAAGACGTACATTCTTTCAGGCCTGAGCGGTGGCTGAAAGAGGATAATGGCGACCTGCGTAAGCTACGTGGTACCATACCACCTTCGCTCGCTGACATTACTGTAATAGACCGCTTTTTCTTCGCATTCGGTTCCGGAGCGCGAATGTGCATAGGCAGAAGTAGGTCATCAGCGGAAACTTCCTTTTACAAACCGAGCTAACTTTCTACGACAGATATCAGCTGGATGGAGATGGCAAAGGCAAGATTCTTATCCCAAACTCTTCAGAGCGTTCATTGACCAATCTTGTGCTGACCACATTGCAGCTCATCCCCACTCTACTTTTACATTTTGACATTGAATTGGTCGACCCGAATGCCTTGTTGGAGGAAAAGTGCCAGTAAGTTTTGGATGTACTAGCCACCTTGAAAGTGTCTAACATTATCTTTAAGTTGGTTCGTCTCGCAGAAAGGTCTCAATGTCAGGCTTCGCAGGAGACCATCCCCGTCCGCGGTGTGAGATAAGGTTGGCTTGAGTTGACCACCAAAAGCCCAGCCCCTTCTTTGTCTCTCAGTTTGACATGAACGCCTTTCACAGAGTTCGGCGCAGAGTTCGGCGCCAGCTCAGGATGTATCCCTGGAGATCCAAATAAGAATGAACCAAAATTTCCGCATCATGGTGGTCGCATTCACTTTGCAATGATTTCCAAGCGCACATGCTTATCGACTTCATCATCTACTAGAAACCATATTCTTCCAACTCCCTTTCCAGTCCTTTACTCCAAACTGAGGCCGTAAACGTCTTCCCTTCTACGACACCAACCACATCTCGTTCTCCTCTGTCCTCGAATCCCATCCGTTGAAACATTTTCTTCGCTTTGTCATTCTCTGGGTCAGTGAGACCAAGAAACCCCTTCTGCCCTCTTTCCTCTTCAAAATACTTCATCAGTCTCTGAGCAGCCTCCGTGGCATACCCTTTCCCTTGGTACCTGTCAAGAAATGAAAATCCAAGATCGGGTGCGGTCGGGCCACCTCCAGGATATCTAGCCAGTTGCATCGTAACGCAACCGATGGGCTCGAGAGGACGCTGTGTAAAGGGGATAGTCGAACCATCCTCGTCGACGGCCTCAGGCTTTAGCGAGACCAGATACCTGCCCCAGCCCAGCTTTTCCATCCGCTCGAGGCGGGGCAAGATGTGTAGCTTCGCAATTGCCTCTCGTTTTGGCATGGTTCTTGACAGCTCGTCAAGCTTGGCGCTCCCTCGGTCGCTCATGTACTCGATGAAGAAGTCGCAATGGATATCATTGGAAGGATTGACGTGGGAGATGTACAGGCGCGGTGTGCTTAGGTGCCAATCGTAGTCAAGCATTTTGTTGGTCGTTTTCGGACAGGATGAACTATGCTGCAAACCGGTGCGGGAGGGTTCATGGGATTAGAAAGTTAAATGTACTCACTTCGTTGCGATGAGTTAAAATGGCACGAATGACATGTGCGACAATGTGATGTGTCTTTATTGCACAACAGATGGACCGAACGCTCCACAGATCCATATTTGGAAGGTGGCTTCAGGCAGACGACTTGTGTACGTCAACGGGACTTTTGTCTTACATCCGTCAGGAAAGTCTCCACCGTATTTTCGTCGTTCTTCTTCCGCATCTTCACCATGATCTGCCTTGATGAGATACGGTCACCATTTGGGCATTACAAATCCAAGGCCCTCTGCACAGAGCGCGACCTGACTTAAGATTCTTATTCATAGTATCGGTACGTATATACGTAGTCACAGTCTTTCGCACGTCTTTCCTACTTCACATCTTCAGCGCATTCTGATGAGGTAATCTCATAACGTATTCCAATACCCGATAGTGAACGTTGGCTGTATCGAATAATTCCTCAAACTGGGAGTAGAGCACAAGTACCTCCGACGATGCACACATCTCCAAACGTGTCGATCCCAACGCCTCCATCGCGTTTTCTGAGAATGGAAATTGTTTAGGGGGGTCTTCTTCGCGGTGGCGGAGGAGGTCGTCGCGCAGGCGGCCTCGGCGGAGGTCGCACTTGGACACGAGGAGGCTGAGGCGGTACGGCCAGAGGAACCACGACTGCCGGCGCCGGTCGCGGGCGCGGGCGTGGGCGAGGGCGCGGGCGTGCTGGTGGCTTTTTGTTCGCACGAGCTTGCAATCCCTCTCCAATACCCTACTCAGTAATTAGAGATGTATCAATGACTCATCTGGAGATGGTGTTACTTACGGCGACGTCTGGGCTGTTCACGGCTTCGTTCCTCTGCGTCAGAAGCCAATGGTATTAGTACTAGTGAAACATCTCGTGGAAAACTCGCAGTATGCAAACCTCACCTCATTAAGAGACTTCGTATCAGTCACTGACTGTACATTGGGAACTGCAAGGCCGAATGAGACGTAGCAGGCCAAGGCCACAGTGGCCACATGCTGAAGAGAAGGGACAAGCATAACGGATCCTTATTGTAGTAATGCTAATCAATGGGCGGGGTGAGTGTGTGTGCGCGGCCGGGTATTATGTATGGGAAAAGGGGGAAAGACGCTCTGAACTTATATCTCTTGACGTCTCCAGTTCTCAACACTTCTGACCTTGTGGCTTCCTGATTGACGCCTTGAGAAACTCGTTCATGTGAACTGCTAGATTCGCCTTCAACCGATCTCCAGCTCATTATTCCCGTGCCTGGACCAGCTTAGACTTTCCAACTTGAAGTTTCAACATGAAGTCTCTGCGGCCAAGAACGAAGATCGAGAGGGGGTTGTCGTTCTGGACATGGAGTCACCATGAGGCTCTCTCACCGAGAACGAATTACACCATCCGAGACCCTGGCATCTTGGCAGGTAATGCGATATCCAATCATACACGTCCTGACCCGCCGACAGGGAACGATCTTCATACTCGACGATCATATCGTGAAGATTCAGATGCGACGAAAGTTTGTTGTTTCCTGCACGGACGAACAATAACCGCGCGGGCTCTTCAGCCGTCCCATTTTCGGAATTGATTTTGTGAGAGGCAGCATGGGAAGACAGTTGAACCCCTTCGTCAAAAAACTCACTTTTTCTGCCATCGTTTCGTTTTATTGCCATGGATGGCTATTATGGCGAACGGCTCGTCACAGGGTCTGGTCGTTGACGTTGTGCTACTGCCGGCTCATTGGAGCGATCGCCAGCGATAGAGCCCGCGGTGTATCGAATGACACCTTTGACAGCCATATAATAACCTCAAGTTCTAGGGGTACATTTGGCGCAACCTTACTTGGTACCAATGTCGCCATTAACGGCTTTTGCGCATGCAGGCTAGCGAATAAGCATGTCTTTCTTTTTGCTCCGCGCTGCACGCGCCGCAACGCCCGCGGGACTCGAATTTCCATTTCTTCCGGCCCCTTCCCCGCAAACCATCCCGCGAGCCATCCTGTGTCGGGTATAGGGGCACTCTTTGTCAGACGTGAATCAGACGAGGCTGGAGTTTATTCTCACTTGGCTCGCTGATGAATAAACCAAAAGTCCACATGCCGACATGCAGCCGCGGGAAGTCAACTGAAACGAATCACCAGAGAGGGGAAATGAAAGGGAGTTTATGCAGCCAAGAGAGAAGCCAAGAGCATCTAGACTGATGCTCGAGAATGAGGCTGACAATGAAGTCGGATTAAGTTGACGAAAACGATAGTACGCCACTTAATGCTGAAGCTATGGCCAGACGTGAGTGATGACCCGCGTGGTGCATCCTAGGTCTTTCATCACTGCCAGCTCGTCAAAAGCTTCTGTTACGGGTGGAGTTTCCGATCGCAAAGGGTCGCTGCGGGATGCCGGGGTGGCTTCCCGTGCGATTAGATGGGATCTTCGACCGTTTCGGAGTCACTGCTCATCACGGGGCTATTGAGCTCTGGCGCCGGCCGAGAAACACTGGCTGTGTGGGCAAGACCTGGCGTGGGGGTGTTTCGGAGTGCGATGTGAGGCGAACTCAGAGAGTGTGTGGGCTGGGAGTAAACGCAGATGTTGAAACCGTTTTGGGTTGCTACCATTCTTTAAGCTTAGCCTGCGCTCTGTTTCCACGACGACCGATTAAACCTCGGTGGAACATTCTGTATTTGGAGCATCAGGGAAATTTAGTACGTATGATGTAAATTGAAGTCTAGGACGTCTTTGCTGCCAAGGAATGTAAGAGCAAATGTAGGGGATTATGCAAACTGTACATCGTAGCACTCCCGTCAAGGATCCCGTGACCACCTTGGGAAATTCACCTTGGCAACCGACTTGACACTCTACGGTATTGACGTCCAAAGTGCCGGTAGTTACAGTCTCAAGGGAACTGCACCGTGCGCTCACCACCATCTTACCGTCGATGAGGTTCGGCAATGAGCCGCAGCCCTCATGAGACCGAGCTCGCCGAGTACGGCGGAAATACGAGCCGAATGTCTTGTCTGGAAGCGAAACTCGACGTTCAAGAAGTGGCCGAATCATGATGAGCACTTGGATTTCTCCGAGGGCTCGCGTCTTCTTGCCAGTGCCCATCAACTCACGCTCGGTCATAAAGCCGTCGCATGGCGCGTGCGGCGGTGAAAGCAGCTATTTCCAAGATTAGGAGCAAGTTTAAACGAGCAGAAATGGGGTCGAGATTCTTCTTCATCATGCCAAGATCCAGGATATCGGCCAAAACAACCTGTATAATGGTTACTCTGAGGTCTGGCTGCTCTGACACGAGACCCTTGATCCGAAAATGTCTTGGACGGTCCATCGTTACGAGTTGACTGGCATTCCTGGGAAATCTGGTGTTGCACTGGTCAGACCGTAGAAACATCTGGCGAGAATCGTGCCCTCTTGCTGCTTTGGGCAAAGTAATCGGTTGTCAACCGACTAAGATACCCATGTAAGCCTGGTAAACCCAATGAAAATGCTGTTGGGGTCTTGATTACTCAATTCCAGTAACTTTTCGTTCGCCCGTCCGTGTTAACTTGTATGGATATGTTTTGACCATATTCGACTTTTGTGCGGAGAATTCACATATTTTGCAGGCCATACATTGGTTACGCGCGAGACATACATAGCATTTGCTAGTATGGGAAATGGCGGGCGTTAAACAATAAATACAAAGCGTACATAGGATGCTGGGTATCTAGTTTGTATTATCTATCCTCTACTGTGATTTCCTGACAGGTTGACATTCCGGCCCGATAAGCCCTGCTGGAAACTCCTGAACAAGGAGAAATCTCGTCTCATGACTTGCTCACAATTATCCAATTCTGGAGACTGGACCACTTCGAAGACTATCATTCGGCCCACACTTGCCCACCAGGTATGGATAAGGCCTTTCAGATGCAAGCCAGTCGGGCTCGGGTGTTATTCTGATCCCACCCATGAATTACCACCGAATTCGTGAGGGGGGACTTTGCGCATCATGAAGCAACAGAAAACACGACTTGCTTGTGTTCTCTGGTTCCTGGAGGGTGCGTTCTATCCTTCTTTCAGCTCCATTATTGAATGACCAAGCTCGTATCTGGCTCATGAACTTCGGCGGCCATACGGCTCGAACGGGAACAGAGCGGAAACCACTGCCATCAGTCCAAAAAGTGCCGCGCAGACGTACAGAGGCACGGCACTGGCGGTGTTTCCCGATGACGCGACGAAGGCGGAGACAATGCCCATCAAACGGTTAAAAGCTACGGCGATGCCGTTGCCAGTAGCACGGTGAGCGGAAGGGAACACTTCGACGGTGTACGCGTAGAGGGTGCCATAGTAGATATTGATACCAAATGCTGCATAACTCGTCAGTCTGAACATTCTGTGGTTTTACGGTGTTTCTGAAAACTCACCAATTGCACAGCTGATGCCGACATTTTGTGCTGGTGTGCTCACTGCGGTGTACCCGAAGAACAGCGCCATGGAGATAATGGCTCCGATGACCATGGTGTACTTGCGACCGACCTTGGGGATGTTGGCAAGAATACCGGCCAGGATCGGTCCAGGAACGCCCGAAATGTTTGTCAGAGTGAAGTTACGCCAGGTTTCATATGGTGTCTCCTCTGCGTCAGGGACTCGAGTCGAAAGATAAGATCTGTAACTCGTGAGCTTTCTTATCACTCATGCATCAACTTGAAAGAACTCACGGGAGGAAAACATAGAACAGTGGGTACGCCAGGCCGATCAGTGTCCATGACATCCAGACCATGGAAGTGCTCCGGCTCATCTTCTTGGTAACGAAGAGACCTTTAACATGGGCACCCAATTCACGAATGACGAACTTGAAGCTGTTACGCTTCTGCCCGGCAGACTTGATTTGCCCGCACGCCTCAAGCTTCTCGAGAGTGAGCGAACACGGCCTGTTGTACTTCTGCGCCAGCTTCTGGTAGTTGCG